ACTCCAGAGATAGAAGAGATAAAACCATATATCTCACTGGCATCATTGCTGAGTTATCATCAAAAAAACAATTTAATTATTGTACATATGTATATCAAAATTTCTGTCAATTTCTTCACACTTGTCTTCAAAAATCACAAAATGCTCTTGTTTATAACTTTATTTCACCTAATTTGTTTTTTTAAAAAAGGGGGTAAGTTTCTAAAGAAACTGCAGTGCTGCATCTGTAGGGGTAAATTCATCATCAACTCAGTTGATGATGAAACTTGGCCACCTGATGTTTCAAGTATTAGCCCTTTGTCATTTGCTCTGATGAAGGGCTAAAGCTTGAAACATTTGCTTTGGAATCTTTTTACAGGGGCCAATTTGGATTATGAACTCAGTTGGACAAAATAAATTATATTGTAATTTAATTTTGGTTACGTTCAATTATTTTCTAGTCTCCCTGGGTCAATCATGATAATCTGAATATGACTAATGTCAGAGTATTAATGATTGTAAAAAATGAAGTCAGCAAAGGTTATCTTCAGTTGTCCTACCACTCAGTTCTGTGAGTTTCTCAGCTCTCTTGTTTCTGGTCACAATAATTCCAATCTGCAACCGAAGATTTAACACTGATAACACTGGCTCTTATTCATCAAAATCAGATGTATCACCTTGAAGAAAAATAATACTTTACCTGTGAAATAGGATTCTGATCAAAGTACTCAGTGACAAAAGTTTCCAAGAGCTGTTAGAAAAGATATTATATTGGTTCAAGATCACTGTCAATAATGACTAACTTTACATTGAATATCTCTGAAATAGGCAAAACCAAACTGAGGCATTGCATATTATTTTCAACTCTCAAAATGTTGCTAATAGTTAACTCAGGTACCTTGACAGAACATGCAAGGCGTGAAGGTTTTAAATCTGCTTCTTCCATTGCTCTGGACATATCCACAATGATAAACAAGTGCCTCATCTAAAAATTACGATAAAAAATGCAATTCTCACATAATAAAATTGAGATATTTTTAACATTCTGAGAGGTCTTTAATTAATACCTCTCCATTAAAATGTCATTAATATCCAAATTTCAGATGAAATTCCATTGCACTGAATAATTCAAAGTGGCTTCACCTACAGTCAAAGTTTTAACCCTTTAATTCCTATGAGTGACCAAGACAGAATTTCTCCTTACTATATCTATACAATATCATGCAGACAAGTGATGAGAATAAAGAAAAATGTCAATAATAGGATTGCTAATTGATCTGATACCAAATTCTCCAAACTTACAAAATGAGAATCATTTGGTAGACAGTAAGGAGAATTACTAATGAGATCTTGGGAGTTAAAGGGTTAACACATTTGGAGACAATCTTGAACGTCTTTTTGTTCCTCTCATCAACCCAAAAATTATTTCATGTTATACTTTTAAATGGCAGAGATAAAATTTCTTAATGATTTCTGGGAAATACCTCTCCTTCAAGAATGAACATGTATCATTATTTCAATCACTTTAGAGAATGAAAAATAGATATTCTTAATGTGTCTGCAAGCTTTAATGTATTCTATTTACCACCTAATACATACCATCCCAAGTCGAATGTTACCACTTCTTCCCATAACTCTGAAAAATTTCACAACAGCAAAACATTTAGTCAGACTCACAGTTGTAAATGTTTAGTTATTCTCAAAGTCTCATTCAAGAGAACTTGAATATTTATTTCTTTATTTCTCATCTGTTTGTTTCATCAATCACTTTTTCATTGTCATTTTAAAAGTGTAATTTAGTGGATTCTTCACTGTAAATTGTTTTAAGAAATCTTAATCTTATACATACAACTGAAAGACTGCATAATTGGATCCAAATTGGCTGGCTTGGAAAGCAGTGCAATATCTAACTATCCATTGATTACTCTTTAACTTTTACATGAACATACAAATCATTTGAATACTCTCTTCCATTACATGTAAAGATGGTATTATGTACAAATTAAAAGGAAAAGAACTAGAAGAAAGAAAGAAGAAAAAGAAGAATAACAAGAAAAAAATAGAAAAACAGAAACTACACTACAAAGATCCAGAGATGTTTGGTTATGCACCAATGAGTTCAAATTCCTAATCTGATGTTTTTGTAAAGTTTTTGTTCCACCTCCTTCTTTTGGTCCTGTGTGAAATTTCATCCACCACTGTTTGAAGAGAGCCTTCAGCATCTTCTTGAATAACTTCCCTGGGCAATCAAAAACAAGTATTTACGAGTATACCATACTGAATGCTGGTTCTTATGTAGTATGCCTGAAGTTTTGGTTACTCGGGTTTATTTCAATATATGGTTTTATAGAACACCAAAAATCAAGCCATGCAACAACATGTAGCCATATAACTTGTTGCAGTTGATAGATTTAATGCTGCTGAATGATGATAATGATGATGACAAAAACATCTATACTGTTAAAGTTATACTAAGATTTCCACCCACCCCACTACTTTGTTATGCAGTTGGTAGGATAAATAAAAAAAAAATGGCGAAAAAATAGATTTTCTTTAGGACCAGGACTTTGTTGTGCTAAAGTATGATGCTGTGAAGAGATCTTCCCAAAGTTATTTCATTTAATTGATAGACAAACTTTATTCTGTTTTTGCCTCCCTCAAAATTGATTTGTCAGTTAAGCAGCTCGGAAATTTGAGTGTAGTAAAACGAGCAAGGTAATTAATAGGCTAGGAAAAGAGAGCCGAGATCAGACAGAGAAAAAAAACAGGAGAGGCCATGCAAAATTTCGCGCAAATGTGGCAATCCCGAGCATGTACTTAAAAAAAAAATAACTGCCAAGGCTTGGGACGTGCGCACATAAATACATATGCACATGACTCGTAAAAATAAGGCAGTTATAAATATTAGGATATCACACTAAACATACCACGTTCTTTCGTACTGATTTAACCAGCGGTAACCTCCTGATTCCTCCTCGTTCGCCATCTTTATTTTGCACCTGCAATTATCAGTGTGCAGCGGTTTATTTGTGGCACGTTTATTCCTTTGTAGGTTGAGTGTGTTGGACTGAATGCTTGTCATTTGACAACTGATGAGAGACATGCATGAGAGTGTAGCTTTCGATCTATTTCCTTTATTTAATAGGGAATGACATAACTAGGAGTCGAACTTTGCTGTGAACGTCACAGCCCCACCGAAAGAACGGTTCGAGTGATTTTTTGCCACAAAACGCACTATCCTTGCACAACCGTTGGTTTTACGCGCAAATCATATTTATTTGCGTTTATAACTTTCGAAAAAAACTCAAAAGACGCGATAAAAGAGACAAAAAATAAAAGAAGAGAACGAAATTTATATGAACCGTTGACTTATCACCAAGAACTCAGGATTCCCAATGTTATACTAGGAGTCCTTAAATCAAGGTTCTGTCGGGCGGCACAACCTGTGTAAGAATTCTTGGTAGGAACTATTACCAGTGTTCCAGGAGACTCTGTACATTGTCATTTCTCTCAGCTTTTCGTGTAAGAACTATCTCTTGTTTTTTTATTTTTCACTCGCAGAATGTAAAATACGTACTTAACCAGCGTGAGAGGCGAACCCTATATCTCGTGGGAGATGCGATATTAATCGTGCGTATGAAAATCTCCTAAAAAACATATAAAGCATTCTGTGCTGGCCTTCATCGCACATGTGGCTCGTTGGTCGGTGAAAGCAAACTGAAATATTCGCCAAAGTACACTATATCCTGCATGGGCCACATTAAATTTTCAAGGTTTGTATTTCTTTTTTTGTTATTCAGCTGTTTCCTATAAAGTTAAGCTTTTCATTGCTTCATGAGATTTCAATCTGAAAACCACCCTTAATGATCAAACTTATGCTCTGCGCTCTTGTTTTATTCTCAAAATTTTTACCCACAATTTAAATGGGATGCTGGAGAACATTCGTCACATACAATGTCTTGCAGGGAGTTCAGATCCTCAACTGCTCCTCGCGTAACTAATACTGCGTCACCTGAGAGGTTCGTTCACACGGCTCTTACTTGGTGTAGGAGACACAGTTGACGTTAAATAAAAAAAAAAGAAAAGAAAAGAAACAAAAGAACGAGGAAAACAAAAGGTGAATGAGGCGGTGTTCTATCGTGCAATTTCCTGTGTCTTCTACACCAAGAAGGTGCCGTTCACACTCACTGAGCAAGTGACGCTTTCATGAATGGATATTTAATAAATTTTTCCACTTTTCGCTAGACTCGAGTGTGGAATGTCATTGAAATGTATATCTTGCGTGCGACAAATGCAATGTTTAAACCTTCAGCCGGGGCTTGACTGTCTTTTGACTTATGTGTGAAGAAAAGTGAGGAGGTAAAAAAAATTTTTTATCATTATGATGAGCTAGCTAATGAAGAGGTTAACTGATTGAAAGCTTGTTTCTGGTGCATTCGCCAAAGTGTTATTCTTCAAAGTTAGCATGAGCCACGCGGTAATTAAAAAGTTGGTAATATAGGGACTGAGGGGAATATTTCCAAACAGAGCACGAAGCAGAGGTCAGTTTTTCAGTTCAAGAATGTTTTCAAAGCTTTTTCCATTCTTCCATGATCCTTTCAAGACTCGACAAGAAAATTTAATCATATATTAACCTTCCCGTTTCTCTGAAATATTTCATTTTTGACCAATATTCACAGGAAACTTATAGCTAAGAAGGATTGAAATGAAAAAAAAAAATAAAAAAATAAAAGAAAGAGGGAAGGGACTAGGAGAGATCCGCTGTGGGAAAGCGTAGTTTACCAGATCATTTATGACTCGCTGGAAGGTATTTATCTGGAAAAGTGGTTATCACCATCTACTATCTCAGTGGCCGATGATTTAAAACTTTTGAATAAGCTGGTTTCAAAATCAGATACAACTGTTTGGCCAAATTGGCCAAATTTATAAGCTGTTTCTTGCTAGCACATTAGGCCAAAATCAATCCATTTATCATTTGAATAACATCAATTAATGATTAAGAAAGTAAGGCACAGTTGATTCCCTTGGACATTCCAAGTTTATTCCATAACAATCATTCCTTACAATTAAGTGTTAAAATCATTTTACAATTTTAGTGGTGTAACTTTCCTTGCCTGTAACAAGCCAGCCAAGCTAGAGATCACGAACACTTGAATCAACAGAGATAATAAGATATCTGTTCAGTAACAATTGAATACGTTACATTCGTTATTGCCTAAATATGAAAAAGAACACAATGATAATTGGATTACCCGTACTAAGCGAACTTGAGAACGACAAATATACTTTTAATTTTTACTTCCCATATTTATTGCAAGACACAGCCGTAGTCAGCAGACACTTCTGCTGAGCGGACGCAGACACTTCTGCTGAGCGGACGCAGACACTTCTGCTGAGCGGACGCAGACACTTCTGCTGAGCGGACGCAGACACTAAAGTTGAGCCGGTTTGTGACTCCATATCTCTATCAAGGTGGTATCTCATCATATTTTCAATCCATTTTCTCATTAGCTATCCGCCATTACGCAGCGTACACAAGAAGATAGAGGTTTAAAACAATTAGCTTTATGAAATGACCTGTAACAACAGTCAAATTTTTGAGGTGACTGAGTCTGTAACAGATCAAAAAGTTGAGCTTCACCACATTGACGAAGAATATATTTCTCATTCCTAAAATATACCCGCATTTAAGTTTTAAATGTAACTTATTCTAACTGTCTATTATTCATGTCTGGACTCCGTTTGGAATCCAAGGATGTTGTAGATATGGATAAGTGAGATGGCCAGCCTTAAGTCTCCGATAGTTCCTGAACTTAAGCCTGGGACTAACGGCATACTTAAGGTAATAGAAATAAAACCTAACCACTTGCTTTGCTGCTGGATTCTTGAGCTGCCCGTAGTAATCAAATAACGTGTCATAATGATATGTTCCCACGTTCATAGCTACCTCGATCTGGGCCTATAGGGAGCAAAAGAGGTTGTTAGCACATGTACAGGGTGAAAGGCTTGAAGGAAATTAAATGGTTTAAATTGGAGAGAATTGAATAACTCGCGTACATGGCCATCTTTACTTGAGATAAAGCTCTTTAGAAAACTAGAATCGCTCTTAAGATAAACTTTCTAACTAGCTAACGAAAGAAAAAGATGAGAATATCCTGCCATCTGATTACTAGCCTACATTTCTGTCTATGCGGAAGTAAAGGGAGTAACAGTCATGATCTTGAGAAAGGCCTCCATTGTAAGGAGAGGAGTTGAAAATTCGTGAGATACCTGCCCTATTTCTTCTCTTTTCTTATTCCTTATTTGAGGAAAATTTTTTATTTGCCGTTCAATCGATCAACCGATTGACTGACTGATCATGACGTGTGACTATCTGTCAGTTGGGCTGCCTGACTTCCTGACGATCAAACAGCCTGTCTGACTAACTAACACCACTTTTCGTATTTCTTATCATTGTAAAGAAAGTTTTTTTTTGTCATTCAATCGACCAAACGATTGAGTGACTAACCTGTGACTATCATTCAGATCGGCTATCTAACTTCCAGACCACTAGACGTATTGACAGTCTGACAGACTCTCTGACAAATTTCTCCAAGATTAATAGTCCTGCTTATAACTGAATTGCTGATGGAACAAATGCCCAATACACACCGTCTGTAACACCATTAATTTGTAATGAGAGAAATGGATCGATCAATCGAATGACTGATTGGCTTGAAATACTTACAAGGGATATGTTGCGATTTGGTAAATTCAACTCGGAGAACACTCCTGGCGGTACACTGGTGTCATTATAAAGCTTGGTTGGCAAGACAGGTGTAAAGGCTCCGTAGTCACTCACGGGATAATTTACCGTAGAATGCTTCACGCTTAACAACCACAGCAACCTCGTTATCACCTCTATAAGCTCGCTCTTAGTCTCTAACACGGCCGGAAAGTCTTTAACCTATCGTACAAGATGAGAAAAACAAAGATTGATAAACGAGTCCCTCTCGAAACGGAGACCAACGCCAAGAATTTATTTGGAAAGTCTTGCATACGTATCTTTAGGAAAAAATGATCACCTTAAGCAGTTTTAAGCTTATTTTAGGTTTAGCAGGTTTCAGCTGTTATAAGAAGAATGATTGGCGTTTCAACAAAGGTTGTAATAATTCAATGTTGGTATCGCCTATAAGGGCGTAACCAGGATTTTCAAAGGGGGGATCACGCTGTGTCAAACAGAGGGTACTCATCAGATTGCGAGGTCGACCACCACGCCGTGTTTTACTAATGTGACAAAAAAGACCTGCAAAGGGAGGGGGGTCCACGGGAAACCCCAGGACCCCACATCTTCCCCCTAGCTACGCCCTTAGCTTATGATGGTGGTTAGGGGGGGCTCTTGACCTATTTTCACCCTTAACAATTACTTTTGCTACCGATTACCTTGTAGTATACGGGCTCCAGTATTTTATCTACATTTATTGGTAGCAAATTTAGAGCCTGGATAATTAATACCAGGCTCTCGTAGTGAATGCAAACTAAAAGCTTCCGGTTGTGGTCCACTCCATGTCTTTTCATTACCTGGCCAGATCCACCATTCGGTCCAGTCCCCTCAATAGATAACTCATTTACATAGGCTTGTAACTCTTCGTCCTCCTGGACATCCCTGTCTCGTTTGTAAAAACTGAAAGAAAATGATCATGCCATCGGATATTTTTTCATTATTTTGATTTTTTTATTTTTATGTCACTGAATCTTGGCTGTTACGGGTACATTACGCTGTTGCCCGTGTGTCGGCTTTGTTTCTGAGAAAGGATGGCTTTATCTGTCACTGAGCTTCTGTACGGAGAGAAGTCAATCTTCTTTTTCACTATCTTCATTGTGTTTAAAATCGAAATAGGATTAATGTCCTTTCTTTTGAGGTAAGAAACTTTCAATTTGTTATCTTTGTTTCTTGTTGCCATACCTAACATTCATACAGTTCAATTTTTATTTGTTCTTCTTTCGTCATATTTTGTTTACCTTGACAAAAGATTTCCCTCCAGTTGAGCACGGTATTCATGGACCAAAATAATAGCTTAGAATTTCTTGACATAGTTCTCAAAGGTTAAAATAGGTATTTATTTTGGCGAAGTTGACATTCAGATGATGAATCTACATCAAATTGAGTATATGCAAGAGATTGGTAAAAACAGTTATGAAATACGGTTTTCTTGTTCGTAGAGGAGAATGGGAATAAGAACGGATAAGTGCAAATTAAAATTTGCTTTCATGTTTTAACTTACACCCAAATGTAATCCTCCACCATTCTTGATATTGCCATCAGTAACAATCTGTTGTCATCGCGATACGGAAAGTAAGGAAATTTGATTTCGTCATCAAGGCCCCGTTTCTGGAGAGAGAAATGATTTCTTTTTTCATTGCCTGAAGATTGCTATCGCTTCACGGAGTAAGGTAAGAATTTGAAATTAGAGGGGTTGTGAATAAGATAAAACTGTTTTTAATGTATTCATTCATTCAATCGCTCCAAGAGAGCTCGAGATATTTAGAGTAAGGTTAGTTATATCTTGGCTTGAGTTTCAAGTACCCTACGTGCTTTGAATTCATCTAAGCTATTACGGTGTGTCTTTTGTACTTTCAACACGAGTATATACCAAACAGAAATTTAACACCTAAAGAAATACCTGTAAAGGTCTTTTTAAAGTTTATTTCCCGATAGTTCCAGCCAAGACGACGCACCCCTCGTATGGACAGGGAATTAATTCGATTTTTTTCTTTCTTTTTCCGAAAAGGCAAAGATAATTTTATTTGCTACCTTTATGTCCTGATGAAAATCTGTGTCTTTCCAACCCAACGTCTTGTAGCCTCGCTCCAAGAGTAGTATGGTTCCTTTGTGGCCTATGGCGGTCAGAATGTCCATGTAACCACCTTTGTTGACCAGCGATGGTGAGCCCAAGGTGTTTGTAGCTAAAAGGCCCCTACAGTGGTACTTGAGGAGCTCATTCAGCGGGTGCTGAGAGGAAAGGTGACGGTACATGACCACGCAAAAGGGTTCTGCCAAAAGATGGACCTAAGGGCCATTAAAATTCAATCATGAAGAAGTTTGAAATTGTTTTGAAAGCTCTGAGAGCGAAATAATTCTCGCAGGACCAACTGCTTGTTGTAATGATGGTATATGCAATAAACATAACAATGATGATGATGATAACAATAATAATAATAATAATAGTAATGTTAACAAAATATTTATTACGACAATAACAATGGAAACGACGACTCCTGACCTTTAGAAGATGTTCTATCATCTGGCTGTGCGTGTAATCTGTTGCCTGGACAACCTGTCTGGCCAACATCCAGGACCCACCATCGCCAGGAGCGAAAACGGGCGAATCTGGTAACAAAAAAATCAGAATAGAAGAATAAATAAGTATGTAAATTGCTTTGACCCTTTAAAGAGTTTTATCAGTAGGCAGAAGGTAATCGTATAGAGGATCCTAGCAGAGACATCGACAACAATTCTTTCCAGGGCTATCCACATTCAGACGATTAGCTGTTACTTCCGTATTCAAGCCATTAAATACTTGGCAGATTCTACTCATCCTTGCAACAAACTAGCATCGGACCCTCATCCAGGGAGAAGTAATAATTCTCTTAGTCACTTCACGCCGCTTGAAAACCGAGATAAGCTCCGGCTTGAAGGGCCTATAAGCTTGAGTACAAACTCTACCCTTAGTGCCAACTTATATCCTGTAAAGGGGTCTTCATTTTGGTATTCCATACTCCGATAGACAACATCAATATTTCAATGCCCTCGTTGCAAATGTGACCATCAAGTTCCTATGTGCGCGAATTAAGAGTAGAAACGGGTGTTGATGGAGCGTTTCGATCTTTATAACATTGAAGTTCCCCTCCCACCCCTTCCCTAGAAGTGTTGTGCGTCATTATTTATCGACTGAACTGGGTGAAACTTTTACTGTGCCGTGAATCAGTCATTTTTTTTATTCACTGCTTTTTAAGAATATTTCAGCAACTAGAGAGAAGATTTATAATGAGATCTTGATTCAGAGGGTTCTTAACAATATGCCCAACCTGGCTTGTAATCGGTCTGAATTGCTGCTGCTCGTAGTCGTTTTTCCTTGTTCAGGGCAAACAAAGCTATTGGTGATTTCGACGGCCACATTGTGCGACCCGGTCGCTTCTCAGAATAATCAGGGAAGGTAGCCATGTCATCAAACATTTCATATCGCAGAACATAAACATCGCCATTCTTTATAGCCTGAGAGTAATTGAGTTAAGTCATAAGGATGAATGAGTTATTTACGCCAAATACACCACCTTTTAAATGTCTACCTTTTATCAAGTCAAAGAAAATGGAGCATCACATCCGAAGTCTCTCATCAGGGTTAAATTTCTCATTAATTTACCTCTGAACTTGAACTTTTAATTATTAAATGCATTTTAATTAGCTCATAATTCAAACCCATGCACTTGAAGACTTTATAAATTCTCTCTCAGAGAGAGAAAAGTGATGTCCCGACCAAAAAACGTTTATTTGTATTGTTTTAAGCAGTGCAGTGCCCTTTCGTTTGATCCACATTGACCTTGATTACAAGAAACGAGCTCGAAATGTAGCAGACAAACCTGTGCTAACGATTCATCTGTTTCCATCGCAGTCTGTATCGCCTTTTCCCAGTCGTAGCTTGGACTAAGTGTCTTGACCAACTCTGACCATCTGAGACCCACTTCAGCTAAAAATGCAATAGTACCCAGCTCCTACTGAACATTGTTATAACCAATAAGCAGAGGACAGGGGCTAAGAGCTGTGGGTGGAGGTAAATGACGCTTACACAAACTACTAGTATTAATATAAAGAAATCAGAGTGCCGAAAGAAAACCCTATCGTAAAATCCTTGGAGCGGAAAATATTTCTGGAAAAAAAACTTTGAGACGGCGACTTGGTGAAATCAAGAAATTCCAGAAATAACGATTCTGAGTACTCTTCAAAGAAATGAGTAACTTTCAGTTAAAAAAAAAGACAGAAAACTGGCTAGCGGATTTTTAGGCCACTCAAAGCGTCATTTCGTTGTTCCGATGCTTTAAACATCCCCGAAACAATCAGCAAAGCAGGCTAGCCTAAACTTAACACTCCTCTTCACTTTTATGGGCACAAATTAAACTTACATGAATCTTCTGTCACCCTACGAAGCACCATGGGATTACAGCCACTTAGCCTCTGCTCAGTGAACATATCATCCTCTCTCCAGTCCTCCAGAATATTCTGAAATGGCTCGACATTCGTGACGTACCGATAGAACCCAGTACTTCCCTGTAGTTAAAAAAATGGTGCAATTAAAATAACGATGAAAGTTATATCCCACTTGGGCGAACTTTTAGGCATTTGAATATTTAGTCTTTGATTTCCTCTAAAAGACATTTTAATTCATTTTAAAATTACTTGTCCTATGGTCTAGGCTTTGAGTAATGAGGAAATGAAGATTCACAAGATTTGAAAGGAATGATTGGAGAACTTCTTTTTAGCAAGTAATGCTCGCGACAAATACATCATCAATTACAAAATGTAGACCATTCTTAACTCCATCTCTTACGTTTTGAATGCTTCAAGCTGGTTACGTATATAATGAAATCTAGTTCTCAACGAACAATGATTGATTGTGGTTCAATCAACTTGGAATAAAATCTCTCTAGAATTTAAGGATTTTGTGTACCACAGGCAGCCTTTGTTAATATGTCGCTTAATAAATCAGCCAATAGTCAATCGTCTATCGGCTGATTGTTGTTCTACAGTCGGCCAATGGCTGACCGACCGTCGGTGGATGGTCGATTGGACGGTCATGCTGTCGACCAATTCTCTGCCAACTACCGGCGAGCTATCGGCCGAGATCTCGATACCATTTTATTATCCCAAGTAAACGGCTTCTTTTTAAACCATTTATTACTTACATCATCTCCCAATGTACTTCTAAAATCGTTAAAAATATTTGCATAATCCTGGAACTCTGTAATCTCTCCAGGATGTTGCTTTTTCCATTGTGCGGTGAAGCCTTTGTTTTTCTTCAGCATACCAACGTAACCATTAAACTGTTCCTTTGCAAACTCGTCTTGTGAAAGCAATTGGATGAGTGTTAACGTGCTCATATTTACTAATGGCATAGGTAAAGGTTCGCGTACTGCCAGTTGATAAATTCCCCTTTGGACTTCCAGGTCTTTTTCGCGAATATCACGGCATTCGTCGGTAGATTTCTGAGGAAGACCGATGGGGCAATTTAATCCCCCTGAGAAGAAGACGCGAGAGAAAGATGGCGTGATAGCTAAACTTTAATTTGATTTTTCATAATTGATCGCTATTATATATAACAATTTCATTATCGCAAGGATATACCAATCCATAACCAACTGTGTTACAAGCAGGTAATTTAGTGTTAGCAACTGAGTTGAAAACGTAAATTGGCCACCGCAAAGAGTTTAAAGCCTGACGTTTCGAGTGTTAGCCCCTCGTCAATCGCTCTGACGAAGGGCTAACGCTCGAAACGTCAATTTATGTACAATTTACAATGTACTCGCACACCAAAAATTGTGAATGATTTTTATGAAGAAATCAAGCAAATCCCAAGATCTGATCAGGAATTCATTAAGCTCCTAGGCATTTCCACACATATTTTTCAATGAATACGAGTTACCAGCGATCTGCCGCTGCCTATAAGCCCCATTTAATGCCGTCTTTTTATCGCGCGAGCAGGACTTCGTGTTTGGGTTTCGCCTCACGGCCCATTTTCGGACACGGCCGCCAATTACACCATCGACAGCCGCTTGTGGAACAAATTGTTGAAACTCTTGACTAAGAGAACTGGATTTCTATCGAGATATCACACCCTGGCTGAAATAACCTTTCTGCCAGGTAATGCAATGATTTTTTAGGATAGATAACTTCTGTGAGTCGAAGGATTAGTACCGCTTTTAACTCATTATCCCTGAGAGTGACTGGCGTCTAATTTCTCCCTACAGTATCAGTCCTGAAACAAACACTGGGGTCTTGAGAATAAAGAAAATGATCACCAGCTGAAGAAAATCTTGTTAGATAGACAAGTTCTCTTTTTGAGTACCATAGGGAACGTGTAAATGATTGTGTGGAGAATATGCATACTGATTCATGTTCGAAACGTTTACCTCCAGCTTGCCTTGCTTGTCTTCTTCGTCCGTGATTTTCTTCGACGCTGGTGAAGCAACAGACAAACGAAAAAAAAGATAAGCTTGGAATTATTTCTTTTGACGCGGAAAATTCAAAGAGGATTTATGGAAGTCCTTCAACCAACATCTCCAGATTGTGTAGATTAATTCACTTTATCCATTTTTATGGAGCCAGGGGTCACTTTTAGATATAAAATGTACTGTGAAAGAAAACATCTGCACTCAGGCACGCTGATCGCAAAGAATATCGAAGGCGCATGCAGTATTTGTAATCAGTAAATCCGGATATTCGACTAAACACAAATATTTTATTCGTATTTTAAAGTAATATTGATACTGCATAACAAAACATTTTTCTGGGAATCACGAAGCCAAGAGATGTACATCATGCATGCATACCAGCGGGGTGTGCCACTGCCATACAGGGGTTTCCAACAGGAAGAATTTATAGACAAATTTATGTCTAAACAAAGTTTTTATCGAATTATCCTAAAGGATCTGTTCTCCTCTGCCTCCACAAGCAGAAGTGGTATATCAGAGGGTAAGATTCAAGGAACTCTAGAGCAGAGTATTCATTTACAAACGGCGGTTTGGCCTTCCCGTTAGGTAAATAACTGTTTAATGCATCATTTCACTTTCTGACCTTTTTCATAGTCACTTCCTGTCCTTCTTCTTCCTCAGAAAGGCCCCTGGATTGTATTTGTTTGTTGGATACGTCTAAGAAAAGATATTTCGCCCTTGTTTTCTCATCAAACCTCTTTTCGGACGTGGGCGATCTTTACTTTTGGACCGCATTTCAAGATAGATATTGAAATGTGTTGATGTTGCGGTGCCGCTTACCTTTGTTCTGATGCCAACACTCCGACCAGCAGGAGGAGGGTCATTATTTGCAACAGCATTATGAACATCAAAATGCTCCGATTAGTCTCGAAACTATACTGTAAGAAAAAAAATGGGTGCGTTGTTACAAACGGCGAGATAAATGTGAAGGGGTAAAAACTAAAATGAATCCTTACGTAAACACTGCAAATGCAAATCCTGGTGTGCGGTCTAAGCAACACAAAATCCGATATATACTGGTATGAATAACTGAAACTCTGCCAACGCTTTGATTGGTCGATAAGTGCAAGAGATGAGATGTCCAATGAAGATATGTACACACGAAAAAAGTTCTCTATTCATCAAATATCGACCATGCCAAACATTATAATACATAACATCGTTTGTCAATTACGACTGGAGACTCCTGGGAACTGATGAGTATATGAGTAGTATCTTGTGTGAGAAATTTGCACACCAGATGAATAACATTTTTATAGAACATATGGGAGCCATATGGCTTTCACCATCATGAAATGGTTTGATGAGTCAATTGATCTGAAATCGTGTCACGGGCCGTCATGGAAGTTTTCACCGTCACGCAATTTTTTCCCTGCTATATAAACCTGCCATATCTTCCCCTCTCATAAAAAATACTCAAAGAGAAAGAGGGCAATGGACCCTTCTTCTTCTACTTTTGAGTTCTCGTGCCTCTTTTCTGAGGTTCTGAAGTCGCTAAGAGGGTTTTGAGAAGTTCAAAGAATAACTTATGGCTAAATTGGGAACTAATGAATTTGGTTTTGTCTCATTGTCTATTTCTGTCGTACTTGTTTGGAATCCACTGACGAGGGTCAATTTCTTATTTCTTACATCTGATGGAAGAAATTATTCTTAACTAGCATTTTGTGTTTTTTAACTGCGTTTTGAAACGAGATGTGAAAAAATATCATTGCTCACAATAACTGAAAACGTGATCAACTTAATGGTCTGATCACATTTGACCTCTCATGAAATTTCACACTGAACTTAACAGTTAATAAAATTACCTTGCGATAAATATTCGGTCTGCGCTGAAACGACAGAAATGTTTGGAGGAGCTTTTAAACCACTGATTCGATTACTGCAATTTTTTTTCGCACTCAAACTGCTGGGACTATACTGTCTACTTACCACTAATCCTATAGAATTCAATGAAAGGATAATCTTTTCTGAGACAGTAAAAAAATAACCACTTTGTGACAATCGTCTGTAAAAAAAAAGAAAAAAAATTAAAGATTTGAATGCCACCGAAACGCTTAAAAAGTAGAAGCTGAATACGCGAAAATAACAAAAATTATGATGCAATATCCTACATTTGAAACGTTTTTTTTTTTTTTTCCAATTAGCACTCATTAACATTTTTTCCAATACCGTTAGTTATCATTTGTCTTCCATCCCTAACTTTACCTAAAGGCGAGGAATCACTGCTTGAAATAAAAAGCTCTATGTTCAAGGAAAGCCGAAATAGACGCTGAACGTTTGAGAACCTCCTCTTCGATTTCTTTATGAAAAGAAATTCTTATTCTTTTTCGTATCACAGCTGGCTCTGTACATAGAATTGTATTATTTGTTTAGTAAGTGAATTGTACATTTTCATTCATGTTATCTATATGAATTCCATGGCTAGAATATGGTATCTTCGTTGCCATATCCATGTAAGTACACTTTTGGCAATTCCTGGAAGAGTTTCACTCAGAAACAATAGAGCTGTCATCTGTTTCGTTACCAAATCCGCCAGACTTCGTATTTTCCATTCGAAGAAAACTCGGAGACTAAATTCATGCATTTTAGAAAACAATACAGAAGTTATTGCTTTTCGTGCTCTTTTAAAAGAGTATTCTAATTGCTTTCAAAATCATATGTCAGAACGTTTTTAACAGGAAGAGGGATATCGTTTAACCTTAGAATTTGCAAAAGTGTCAAAACTTCTATTAATCCCTCGTTCCCTGCGGAGTCCATCGAGCGATTGAAAAGAAATTTATGTATAATACACGATGCAAACGAGGTGCGGAACTCTAAAAACGTAGTAGGCAGAATTTTCTTCGAGGGTCTCAAAGGGTTTAACCGATAGCCGTAAAACAGCCATAAAATTTAGCCGTTAAGCGAAAAAATTCACAAATTTTAACCATTAGTGTAAAAAGTTAACCGTAAGAAAAAAATTTTGAAAACCACGATGGAAAGATATTGATCATTAGACGCAAATTTGCGAATATTTAACCGTTAGCCGTAAAAGCCATCACCCCATTGAGACCTTCCATCCTCCTGTAGTTATTTCACGAGACCGTTGACCGTTGATTTAGCGATCGATGACCCAGTTTGCTACTGGGCAGCTGTGGACTTGATGTACAAAACACACAGTTTATGGTATTATTCAACAGGAGCAACCTTTGGTGATACCCTTCGACATCGCATGCTTTATTGAAAATTTCAGCCACAAGAAACCTCCCCTTTCCAAATACCTCAATATCTTTGACGGCCATATGCAGCTTACAAACGCATTAGCCTATAAAATTTAGGGGCAAACTCCCAAAATATCAACTTCTTTGATATTTTCCTTTTCTTCTTTTTTTTTTAATCAACCGACTGCATGACAAATAAATGGCATACAAATATTCTTGTCAGTCGCTCAGGGTGAGCAGGGAGGATGAGTGGTGCTTTCTGGATCTACAGTATCTGCAATCCCTAACCATCTTCTCCATCTGCGGCTTTCCTTGTTCTGTCTTGATATATCTTTACCTTTCGGGTGTTTTTCTATCTTACTGAAACTATCAAATGGTTCTACATTATACCTACTCTTACAAAAGGCCTCCTCCTATACCTGCAATACGGTGTTGTTCCGCTGCAGAAGTTTTCGTAGTGTTTGTAAAACGAGGTCAGCTGAGTTCTTGGGCAGAAATCGTAGAAATCTCGATCAAACACCTTCAATAACGCACCCTCTATTACACTAAGTCGTTGAAAGAGAATGAATAAACTACAACTCACTTATCATCTTGATATCTTTAACTATTTAAACAACTGCATGTCACATGCTGTTTGATTACAATCATTAATTAGCACCGACGAGCAGTTTTGTGAAAATTAACACTAAAATATTTCTTTTAGAACCCTCCGCATGTTACCGATAAATTGTTTTCGCGAGCAAGGAAACAAACGATCAAAGAGATCTGTCCTATTTTTAGCCAGCTTTTTAAAAAATATTACAATTCTATTTTTTATCGTAAATGTGATTAGCAATTAGAGAATTCTCCGAAATGATCGTCAAAAAATGAATTGCAGGACAAACACCAACATTTCACCAGCTTAACCCGGTCAAATTATGAAACGTAACAGTTTTAATTCTATTTTGCGCAGGTAGCAGACTCATTTCATCTGTCGATTCTCTGTTAATCTCTCATTTTTGTGTCCGATAATGTAGCTTATGGGGCAGATTTATCAGCCGTGAATTCGTTCTGCTGAATTAGTGCTTGAGAGATAGATACTCCGTCTTAATAAAACACGTTATGAAAAATATTTATTCCAAGAAAATAGCTTGAAGTAAACGAAACGATTCTAACCGACATCGTCTTTTGGCGGTTTTGAATTTGCATTTTTAATGAAACGATGATAAAGGCAATATAAAGAGAAAAAGTGTTTGCATATTTTGTTGATCGAGTAATTTGTTTCGTTAATGGAGAAAAACTGAGACTTGTACCATAGACAATCGTTACAAATAGCGAACACAAATTTATAAAAAAAGTTGTCATTTACATCGTTTTAATTTGAATTTCAGATGCAATTTTGAAGAGGGCTTAAAGTGAAGTATTCAAGACGGAAAAAATTATCGTAAATTACAATCACAAATGTCTACTTAATGATTATCATACTTTGATGAGTAACATATGTAGACATTGGCCCGTTTTCAGCTGCATACATGTGTATTTCTCTGAAATAACAATTTGCCTCGATTCACTTTTGGGTAACTGCGTAACAGATTTCTGATCACCAGTGACACCTCGCTTTTGATAAATTCTATTTTTCTGCATTAGACTTACTATGAAAATTCTGCTTGGTCGAGAGTATACAGTCAGCTGATATGCAAAAGCGCGTGACGTTCCCATGAAGACCCAATATCTGCAGCAGGTATTGGGTTTTTAAATTGTACTGTATTGAACGGTCACTGAAAGTGGAACCACTAAAATAAAACTAACTTTATTACTTCAAGTAATTTTTGATCCACGTTTCTCTCCCCACATCAAAGAAAGTAGTGTTTATGAGCGAGATTCTATACACCAAGTGGTCAATTATACCATAAAGTGGTGTTGTTTATGGTTTTTTTATAATACACTTAACTGTGGAACCTCTATAAGCGGTCACCCCGCCATTCTCCGTGAGTGAGCGCTTACAATGGGTTCGACTACATTTGATATTGTAAATTATTTTGTGAAGAAACAGACTGGAGCAAAGATCTTCTGCATTCAAAATAACCCTTGACCAATTATTACTCTTAGCACATGTATATACTCAAGTAAGCGAATTCTTTAAATTCAAATAGATGTCAAAAGATTGACGGGCGCTGAGAAGAAACTTATTTTAGTTCAGAAGAATGTTTACAAAAACTTCCGCTACTGAAAGAAAATTTATATAAAGGAACTCGACAATGAAAGCAACAGTTTGAACTACTGAATTTTAATTGAATCTCCATCTGTTTGATCTGTTACCTCAGTAGTAATGAAAAATTTAATTGAAAGGGATTTCATCTAACCTCCAGCAACTGATCGTAACCGGAAACGGAGGATTATTGAGTTAAAGAAAAAATATAAATATATCTTGGAACCTAAAGACTAAGTCACCCCTTCATAAAGTTCTAGCTTTGATTTTCTCCATACACGTGACTTAAAATAGCAGCTCAGAAAGGGGAAAAAGGAACACGAAAAACTGTCACAACTCGAAACATAGTGACGTATGTCGCCAGACGTTATTCGTATGGCTTGACCTTATACTGTTTGTGTCCGCCAATTTTTGTGGCCGTCTGCTTTTAAACATGACACTTGCAAGTTACGTTTTTCCTATATTTCAATGTTTGAAGCACCGAAGATTAATTTAGATCTCGAAAAGGTTGATAAACCAAGTATTTTTTGCCTTTGTGGCGTTGCAGCACATCATAACCTTATAATATTTTCGCTATTAACCTCTTTGTGGACGGTTAACACATTATTCAGTTTCTCTTTATGTTAAGAAGACGCAAATTGCTACCTTCCACCTACTGATTTAATTTTAGTCAAAAGCGGACAAAAGTGGATTCTAAAATCTATTTTACCCGCACAACCAGCTACCATTTAAATATGTTACCTGCAATCGCGCTCTTCGTCTCTGCGATGCGTTTATTTTTGTGTGGAATGTTTTCAGTGATAAGTGTCAATTAAACAGTTAAACGGTGCTAAAAGCTAAAATGACTCACTAGTACTTACCTTTCAGATGCAAGGCTGACTAAAGCTGGCTTTTAGTTGGTTTCTTCTCTTTTCAAAAGACAAACTAAATCAGAAGCATGAAAGCCTTCAGATGCTCTGTCTCTTTATCCACTATTCAGCACTTAAAGTTGTTCAGTCAGTAACGGCAAGGATAATTGCAAAACGACAACAGAAATAAGACGGCCTTTCCGCAGAGGACAGTTAACAGGAGCTAAACAGAGATAATAAACTAAAATTTACCACTTCATTTCGAATTAGGCCTTGTCTGAAGCTCAGCGGTCATTTACGGTCTTAAATAGACTACATGCCCAGCAGTCAAAAATGTTCTCAGAATTCCCCCTGAAGGGTTCTTTCAAACTTCTCGAGCGTAAACAATTTCTTACTGCCAAGAATTTAGTCCATTTAAGACCTTGTCTGACTGCCGGGCATTTTAGAGACTGGGTTTGTTTATGCTTATCAGATTATTAGAAAAAAAAATTATGCATCAGTATACAGCGGATAAGGAGAGATAACGCTGTACCTTCTTCAAAATCTGAACCACTAACGGCCTCCTCCGTTCACTGTAGTTGATGTATTTGCTCAAAGTGAGTGCGTCACTAGCTCTTCAAGCAAGAAGCCATGTACGAATATGCCAAGAAGCTAGGGGTAATGAAAGAACCTTTGAATTTCCGGAGCTCTTCTGAAGCGTATGCGAGCGCAAAGGGTTATCAAAAAACGATTAAGTTAAGGTACTTTGTCATTTGAAAAATGCGTTGACAAGATCTGATCTCTGACAGGTATGTTCCTTCTTTTTTTAAAACAATGACGATATTATGATTGTTATGTTTGCATCTTTATTACTTCAATCATCAAACCTTTAACCGGGTAAGTTTCATGAATCAGCTGTTTAAATTACAGCAAAATTAGCTAAAGCGAGTCCTAAATATTCATCATATAAACATGATCATTATGTCTGACGAGTTCTTTACTGATTAAAGGATATTGTAAGCTAAAAAAATGTTTAAATTTAGGAAGGAAGATATTCGTTAGCTATGGTCAGGTCGTGCACGATAAATGTCATCATTCGGCACTTCGTGATACATTCGTTTAATCTATTTTTAATATGTAGTTCAAGGAAAGAGTGGTTTTCCGTTTCCGCACATGAAACTACAAACCTTAAATTTGAGGACAGCGTTTTCCGCGTTTACCAGCCGAAAAAAGTGAAGACGTGAAGGAATGAGACAAAACAAAACAGGAAAGGGAAAATCAAATAAATTCATTAATGATGTGACAGAGCAGATGAAATTTGGCATGCAATAAATTTCGTGAGTCTGCTCAGATCCTCAGACCGCAAACGAAACGGTGAAACGGCAACCGGTATTTCTTCTTTGTATAAGGGTACTTAAAAGTAAGATATGCTTGTATAAACGAATAGGGTCGAAAAGCAGGTCGATAAGTTACTAATTCTATTATGTCCTCGGTGGATCCATTTACCATCTGTCGTGTTAAAATTATCAATTACTCATTAAGAAGAAAAAAAAAAAAAAAAAAACAGTCACGGTATCGAAATAAAAGTTCTAAAGGAAAATGGCATTGTACAGATATTTTAATTTACTTTAGAAGGGCCCTTAATCTGCGTTCATGCATTCCTATTTTCGTCGGAGGGCGTATGGCGATAGCGAGACAGGTTGTGGCCAACAGGAAAACGAAGATCACTGACTCTTGCGCGACTAGAATTTTCGCATTCCCACGAAAAAAAAAGAATGAAACCTGGTTTCAATTTTAAGTGCCCTCATGATGAGTTTGCACACGTGCATAGCAAGGCAAGTGAACAGATTTTGTCTCTTGCAGAACTGGCTTTCTGCTGAACTAAAAGGCGCTATACATAACAGCCATGAATTTCACTTATAGTCATCTGTTTGGACCTCATCTAGTCAGTGAGATTGAAAGCTCTCGCATGAAATAGGAGCGAATGGTCAGCCAGTTACAGATGGCGCCCAAACCTTTTCCAAACCGTGAAATTGCACAGCGCTCAGAAAGAGGCGACAAGAACAGAAACGTTCTCCTAACGTCGAATACAATGAATCGACTTTATTACCCTCACTAAAGAGGGATCTCCTTCTTTGTGGAGTCTTTCGTTTTACGATAAGAAACAACGAGAAGGTGAGAATAATACGTTATCCCTTACAGATACACTGGTAGATGACATTTTGTTTTTCTCAGCAGCTGTTGCTACCAAGAGAATATAAAGTGATATTGTCTTGTTGCTACTTCATATCCTCTCCTTAGTCCTTCGGTCCGTTCAGCCGGAACGGGTGCATTGTGGGAGAATCATGTTGTTGCTATGCAATCATTTTGTTGCAAGAGAGGCGACTAGGTTACATAGCTTAAAGATGGCGGCAAAACATACGTTCTCTTAAAACAGTGATCAGATGCTGATTTACAGAAGAGAAAGTCAACGAACACTATCTTTGATACTAGAATTAGCAGAATGGATCCGCGAATACAAGCTATATTAGCGAAATACGAAAATGATGAGAAAGGAGAAGCCGAAAAACATGCCGACAAGCCGGCGACCCCTGAGCCGCCGAAAACGTATGAGCAATGGTTGGAAAGACGACCAGCTGGTTTACAACGATGGCCCGATGATGTGGATATTGGAAAGGAGTTTGAAATATCAGTTGCTTCCGTCGGATTAGGGAGTTTGGAAGAAATAATGAAAGATTTGGGGCGTCATGCTCGTATCCTTTCAATTTATCTCAGTCTTCTCCATGCAATAGAAAACGTAAACACAGAAACGTACAGTATTTGAAGTAAATCTCTCACTCCCAAGATGTAAGTATTATTTTCTTTACCTTCAGTTATAAATTTTTTAGTAAAGGGGATACATTTCTAAAGAAACTGCGTTGCTGCGTCGGTGTGGTGTATTACACATGATATAATTTGGTTTATCAGCTGAGTTGATAAAGTGAATTGGCCACCGTAAAAAGTTTCTAATGCTGACGTTTCGAAAGCGTTAGTCTTTCATCAGAGCAAATGACTAAGGGAAAAATGCTTGAAATGTCAGCGACGCATTTCTCAGAATGGCAGGTCTGACTTTGTCAATTTATAGTCAACCGGCCAGTTGTTGAGAACACAGCAAATGATCGATTATGGTTTTATAGTCATATAATAGTTTTTCTTCACCAATGAAGTTACTGTTTAATCTGCATATACACTGTAACTTCACACGAGGATTAAAAGAACCAATCAAAGACAGAAAAAGTACATTTCTTACCCGAGTTTATTGGAGAGTGAACATGATAAGAGCAGATTTTCTTTGGTAGGAATTATCCTGTGAAAACAATTATTGTTTATCTGTGCTACATTAGTTGATGGGCCTAGTAGTTTTTTGAATGAAAAATAATTGACGATTTTTCTTAACTCGGTTATTTTTAATAAGCATTGGACATTGGCTTGATTGATGAGGTAAGCAATGAAATAAAAGAATTGGAAAAGAAGCTTACTGTTTATGCAAGTCAGGTTTTGACAGACAAGGAGAGACCACAGAGTAAAGCTGAGACAATGAGCCCAGCAATGATGAAAGGTAAATAAACATCACAGATGTAGATTATTTCCTTCTCAGAGAGGCCAAGAAGGATCACTGTTATTGAGTGCATGGTGTAGATGATTTGGTTTGTAGTGCAGTACTAAACCTATTGACCCTTGAGAGTGACTAGCACCTACTGTGATTTCTCCTTACAGTATCACCACTGAATTGTAAGTGACCAAGACGGAATTTCTCCTTCCAATATCAATACAATGTCAAGAAGACAAGTGATGAGAATAGAGAAAAACATCAGTCAGGGGATTATAAGTTGATCCAATACCAAATTCTCCAAACTAACATCACAAGAACTGTATGGCAGGCAGTAAGGAGAATTACTAATAAGATCATGGGAGTTAAAGGGTTAAGGTCACAAGGATTATGGAAATGATCATATACTAACAAAGGTCTCAATTGTTTAAGAAATTCTCCTTGTCAGCATCTTAGGACATTTATAAAAAACACCATGAAGAATATGCGTACTTATGTCAGGGTATAAAGGGTCAGCTGGTCTACAGTATTAACTTTTTTTTATATCTGTTATAATTGTGGCTAACAAGTTTTTTTTGGGGAACTTCTTTAACTTTATCTCTGGATATATGGGTATGCACATACATGTATATACTTTTATCTTGTGCAGCTTTACAAACAAGTGCAGATATTCCTGCGGAAGTGATAAACAAAAAGGAAAAAGCTGTATCTTTGGTAAGAAAGACATTTAAAAAAATAGTTTTTGGTTAAATTACCAATTTTTAAGTATAATAATTACATGTTGCATTTCTTAACACCTAGTCTGACTACAGTGAAGACTGATATCCTAACAAGAAGTGCATAAAAATTTAGGACAAAATATCTTTTGAATATATTCAAGGAAAATTGAGTTTTGGAGATGTGAACCTTTAGATTCATAGTTATGCACATTAATTAACATTGTATCTTATGCAAAAATCAGAGGTTGGATGATTGTATATTTGTCTTCATTTTAACAGTATGGCCTTGCAGATGAACAAGCTAACAGAATGAAAAGTGTTCAGGTACAGCTCAATCAGACTCTACAAATGTGTTTACTTTTTGACCAGGTGTGAGGTCAAGATGGCTGGAAAATATTGGCCCTCTTTTTTCCATTTTTATGTCCTGAGACAAAGTCGCTAATATCCAACCATCTTGATGGAATATGCTTCGTCAATTAAGGATTTAGTATATGGTAGAATATTTTAATTTATTAAGATCAGGAATGACTAGGTTATTCTGCAAGCAGGAAAAGACAGCCAGCTGTGTTTGTAGCACAATAAATCTACAAGAGTTGATTTTTTCCTTTGTTTTGATTTTCTTCTACCACTTTTTGTGGCTCCATTGCCAGCATTGTTAAAAAAAACTTTAGACTTTGTAAGTCTGCTCCACACATCAGGCAAACTTGATTAGCCCATCTTGGTTGCCTCGGTAGCCAATAAGAATGTAGTATTTGCTTCATATTGCCCTCAGGCCCTGTCAGTGATATGATTATTTTCATTATGCACCTTGTGCTCAAAGTTACACACCACACTGATTCTTGTTGCATGTTTGAACATGATATCTTTTTCCTCTTTTATACAGTTCACATCTTACCCTGGATTTTTTCCTCATGAAGTAACACCATTACCAGGCCAACTGGAAGCACCTCAGCTATTGAACAGGGTTACAAAGGCTCAACAATTCCCTGTAAGTTGTATCATTTATTTCATGGAAACTCAGGGATTTCATTCTGATCTGTAAATTTATTCAGTCATGTAGGTCAGTGTGATGTAGGCACAAATTGTAGTGGTTCCTGAGGTCTAGGTATCTACTGTGTGGAAAGTTAAGTTATTTCATATATACTAAAGATTTACACTGTGAAGTTACATCATTCATGTCTCTGATTGGACCAACAGTGTATTTTCATGGGTAGTTCTTTGTTTCCAATCTTTGAATTGAAATGTGAAAAAATCTCTGCCAGTAATTACTGTATGGAATAAAAACATTATACCATGGAAAGTGCTTGAATGATTTTTATTCACTAGTTGTGATACAGCAAAAAACTCACTCATTTGCCACACTCACTTTTTCTTTTTTTTTTTATGCTTTCCTACTCGTGAATTAAAATTGTTTCCTTCGCACTTTTTATGGAATAATCTCTCTTTATCAGCAAGTGAAATTAACAAGGAAGAAGCCATGCCACCTGCAGTTGTTCTTTTTCTACATCTGTATTTGCTGCAACAAAGGACTAATGGTTGATAGATCAGCTCTAAAAATTTGTTGACTTAAAAAATTTGTTTACTCACAGTTGATGACCAAATATTGTCCTGGGCTGTTTTATATAGCACCTAGTTCATTGATCAAATTTGTTATCATGTTACAGTTTTTTTCTTACCCAGGGACCTGTTTCTCAAATGTCTCAGTAACTTAATGGGTCCACAGCCATGCAGTGGATTTTAAAATCAATATCTAAGAATAGAAAGCAGGTTCTGCCACATTAACCATTCCATTTTGTTTCTTTTTTAGCTGATAGTTTTATGTATAATTTTCCAAAATTTTGAAAACCATACCATGAATGGAAGTGGAACAGTTTTACAGGCCTGTTAAGTGACCAGGAACTTTGAGAGAGCAGCCTCAGGACCCTTTGATTTGCATATGATCTTTAAAACCCAAATTAATCTTCTGTGTTAACTCCTCCTTCAATCTGTTGATTTATGGAGGGATGTTTTTTTTGCAACAATTGATGATTTAGTTAAAAAATTTTTTTCCAAGTTATTCATGAGTTTGTCAGATACTGAACCAAGACATACAGTTCAAATTATCTGTGTCCAACCACTTTTTATTTTATTCCAGTCAATTCTCAGGAAGAGATGGAAGAAACTGTTTTTGTCTGAAGGATCTGTGATTTTGTTGCAGGTACATCTGTTTATAACTGCTCATAATTATTTTGTTTTGGTTTTGACATACAGTACATGGGAACATTTGACATGTGATTTAGTGGAGTTACATGTATTGTCTTAAGATGGAAAAGTATTGCTAAAATCAATAGGAGATAGGGTACATGAGGCAACTTTCCAAGTGACAACTTTAAAGATCAGACAGTTGGTCAGTTGCCTAGTTGGTTTGATCAGTTCACTCATTTTGTCAGTCAGTTGTAAAAAAACAGTCTGTTAGTATAGCATATCTGGGAATATTAAATTATCATAAAATTTTTGTTAATGCATCATTATCTTAAATCTCACTTTAGTTGAATCCCTTTTTTTTGTTTTCTTCTTAGGATACTTTCTGGTGGTTCTTTCTGGAAAAATTTCAGGTAAAGTCCTTCTTAAACATGAGACGCTCATTGACGAAATCCCTAAAATTGTTTGTTCTAGTTCATTTCGCTTCTTGATTTGTCTAAATTTTTCACAAAGCTTTCTGTGATCTGAAGTTGGATGACCAGCTGTGATGTATGTGTATTGATGAAATAAGGAAACATTCTCTAAATCTGTGTGTTTATACTTCTGAATTTTTCTCTTCTTAGCCTGATTCCAAGGACGCTCAAGATGGCTTGTTTAACCGAATTGCTGACAGTTTTGTTGCTTTGTTCTTCGGTGTTAGTCCTGATTTTAAGGACAGGTTCTTTCAGGTAAAATAAACTATCATCTTTAAGGTGCTGTACCTATCCCTTTGTGAATCCATGAAGTACTAAAGGGATTAGTCCATTGATTTTAAGTTTTTGTGAGCTTTTCGGTGTGGCAATGCCCTCGTTCTTGAGAGAGACATACCATCAGTTTCTCGGAAGAGGAGATAGAAAGAGAAAGAGTTCAGTTATAGGCTAAGCGCGCTTGGTTTCCCTTAACTTTTCTTTTGTTACTTTGGTGTTGGAAAAAGCTACTTTAAGACAGAATGGAACCTGGTAATAACAGTTACTAAGGCAGGTGAACACAAAAGTGGTATTGACTATTCTAAAATGAACGATGGTGGTTAACCATGAAGAAAATTAACTCGGATTGCAAATGGCGGTCTTGAAAAAGTTACGATAATTTCCAAAGATACTTAAGCCATTACCTTGGTCTTTTGACTAAAGTTACGTAAGCCTTCAGCCTTCAGTGCCATCAGGAATATCTATTCAGTACTCTTCAAAGCGCTGCTCCAATGCATGTAGACACAACTTGTTATTTTATGTTTTTTTTTTTTTAAATTACAGTATTTTCCGGACTGCCTGGCACAAGCTGTGTACGCTGCATACTGTGAGGTTTTCCCAAGATCTTATCAGTTGTTTGATGATGACTTCAAAAGTTTTCTTCTGAACACTATCTCAGAATGGGTGACAGGTACATAACGCACACAAGAAAATGCTTTGAAATCAGCGCTCCAGGCTGCAACCATTTTGGTTGCCATGGCGAGCAATGGGAATAAACTAAATGTGTAGCTTTAGTGTCATCAATTTGGCGATCTGTCTTTGACGCTCATGAAACAAGTTGTAGCGCGTTGCTTACCAAGTTTAACTGTGTCAGTAATGAGCATTTATTGTCATTGCTCCTGTCTTTTCTTTCATAAAAAAGTGCCTATTTCTCCTTAGTCGGATTATTAGCCTTCAGATGTCATGTGACTGACTGCCAGAAAAAGAGGAAAAATTTCAATCAGCGTTTTTTTTGGCCGCGCACGTTTTTGACCCTATAAATAAGATTTTGATTTCAGTGATTTTGACGAGTTTTCTAATTTTTATTCCAATTGGGTCGTAGGCAGGCTATGGAGTACGGAATGAAGGGGGAGGGGTGGGAACAGGCATCGTATTTGATGGGCTACAGCCATACCATCTGTACAGAGATGGGTAGAATTAACCGTGGTTGGTCATTCTACAGAAATTAAGGAATAAAGCACTTACTGCTCCTCCTTAAAATGTACAGGTACCAGGCCGCCACCCTTCTCGTGGAAGAAATGGAACCTAAAACTTTTGGAGCCAAGCAATATTCGAGAACTGCAAGATGATAGGACTCAGTCACTCAAAGGTAAGGATTTGGTACTAAGGGAATTTTGCAAATAGTAAAACACGATGACAAGTAATCATTATGCCTGCTGCTTGGTTATGCAAGCACGTGTGTCCCTGTAGCACATTCCCGTGTTCAGTGAGACGGGACAGCAGTTATTGTAGTTGGTAATCTCAGAGTTCGAAATATAGTCTGGACGTACCAAACAATTAAATGCTTCGAAGTGTTAAGAAATCTGAGAGAGTTTGTATGTGTGTGTGTTTATTTGTTTCTTTTTTGTTTTGTGGTTACTTTTTTCAGCTAACATGTCGTTTGATCTGGACTCATGCTTGGATGATTTGGACACTTTCCCCACCAGTAAGGAGAAAGCTGGGACATACACCGCTCCGTATTCCCCCTCCAGAATGGGACTGACAACCATTCCAACGTTCGATAATGCAGAAGTAAGTTAATCTTAGAGCACTTCAACGACGTTATTTCCTTAACCCTTTACACCCTAACATCAGTATGCATATTCTCCATACTGTTCTCTATACATTTCCAAAGGTGCTTAGGGTTAGGGTTAGGGTTAGAATTTGTTAAAAAATCAAGAGCTTCTTTAGTTGGTGATCATTTCTTTTATTCTCATAACCTTAATGTTTCATTGAGGGGTTATTTCCAAGGAGAAATTAGATGCTAGTCACTCTCAGGGGTTAAAGGGTTAAGTGTGATTTTCGATTTAAAGCTTAGGGTTAGGTTTTAGTCATCATAAGAGTAGACTTCTAGTGAATCAGTTATGAACCTCTGTTAGCCTTGTTCAAACTAAACGGGGCAAGTTTCTTAAGAAATTGTGGAAAAAGAAAAAGAAACTGTGTGAAACTCCATTCGCTCTGACGAGGGGCTAATGCTCGAAACGTTAGCTTTGAAACTCTTTACGGTGGCCAATTTGTATTATCAACTCAGTCGATAATACCAAATTACCTTGTTCACAATACTATGGTCTTTAAATGAAGAACCTCAAGACTTAATTCTAGTTCTTATCGAATTGCTTATTCTAACAGTATGTTCAAGTACATGTGGGATGCTTGGGCTTAGATGAATATGGTAGATGAATTCACGTGCGAGAACTTTTCGATTATCCAAGATGCAAAAAATCGTGACTTAGTTCCTTTACCTGTTGGTTACTGTTGCTGTTGTTGTTCTTTTTGTTTTTTTTTTCATTAGTTCTGTACTCATTTCACTTTCATTATTTTTCATATTTTGTTCCCAAGTCACATGAAGTCGGCCCAGGTCCCGAGTTTGAGCGCGTCGGTTTTAATCTTCTGGGCAGGAGTCCTTTGGTGTCACATTTCCTGCGGATGAAAGAACTGATGGGAAAAGAAGAGCAACCAATTCAGGCTGTAGGACGCACTGAAATCGCCAAATTACCGTATCCTTTGTTTTGAAATTAAGAAGGAGGTTTTTTGTTTCCATGTTGATCAAGAATAACTTTGATCTGCCTTTTGTCATTTATAGGGGAGCTATCGTGTCGAGTTTGTCTCTGTTTGCCTACTCGCATGATGAAATAATTATTTAGGGTGCATTTAATGCATTTTAAGTGATCATTCTTCCAGAGCAGATATTCCGCAGTTCTTTCACACAAGAAAATAACTTTTTTTTTGGACTAATTACATCCTTAACTCGTCCCTAGAGCTCCGGCGCCGAGCTACAAACAAGTTATACGAGATTGTAAAAAGACAACAAAAACGTTAAATAATCATTATCAAAGGTGAGGCACAATAGTGTTCGATGTATAACTCTAAAACTCATTCTGTTGACTATTTCTTTATTCTCTTCTTTTCTACACAAGTTACTATAACGAGTACTAACTCAGACCTCTCAGGGAGAGTGTGGGTCACCGCTTATAAAGGTGACGCTTACGGAGCTGTCAATCTCTAACCTTCGTCATCCTTTCACACTTAACTAGCAAATCACGTTAAGTTATGAAGAGCGGAGTTCGCATACTAATTAGGTACCTTCGAGATGTTTATGCTTTACAAAATGACTTTCTACTTAAAATTTCTTAGTCTTACGGTCCAGGTCGAACAAAACAAAAACAATATTTGTAATATAAAAATTATAATGAACTTATTAACAGAATTAAAATCTTACTTGAAAAGATATCTTAAGAGAAAATAGTCCTCGAAGACTGTTACATAACAGCAGAATAAACAGAAAATTCGGAGAAGAAAAGGTCGTACCCAAGGTACCGCCCCTAAAAGAGCTACGTGCTATTCGTATAAGCTACCTGATTATAAATTCAGTGTGAAGATGAAAAGTACTACATGTTTACACCTAAAGACACCTAAGAAAAAGAGGTGTCGAACGTGCTAAATTAAAATTTAAGAACTATTTACGTGGTCGGGAATTCGACATGGATTTAGCCTAAAAACGAGAATATCAAAGAGGTAGAAGTATAAGGAGGGTTATTTACAGGAAATTCCTGTACAGGATTAATTTTTATAAGGTAAAGTCATTTTCTTAGTAATTAAACATCTTTTAGCAACATAATGGAAATATAACGATATTTAGCCGCAAACCGCGGTTTACGCAAAAACATCTGTCTCCATGTCAAATTTACGATCACAATAAGGAAAAGGAGACTGAAATTCTACCTGTAAGATAAGACCGCCAAAAGGAATAAGAAATGATCAACTGGCTTACTACAATGTTTTACTGAATGGCTTATGGTAATATATTATTTCCATTCATTTCCCAACACCAATATAAGAAATCCTTACAATGATTTTAGATTAGATATATTTCTATTTTACCGTTTAACACTAGTATTATTCAAGTAGTCTCCTTCTTTGAGAACAATTGGTTTTCTTTTGCTTTGTTTTTACCTTAGTTATTTACTTATTTTGTTTTTACTTTATTTATATACCATCTGTATATCAGTTATTTATTTGTTTACTCGTTTATTTCTTTTTCAAGGCCATACTTTAACCTTTGAATAACATTAGTTGTGAATTTAACTGCGATGATAAGTCTTCTATTTATATGTTTACCCTGCAGTACAAATATGTCGTATGATCTTCATAACTAGTGTTCTTTTAAACTTGAATAACCGGTGGTCAAGGCATCTGGTAATTGTATTTAATTGACACTTTTTTTAGAGTCCTTGAAACATCTGAGCAAGAGAGCTTGAAAATCCAGAAACAGAAGCGAGCTGCGCTGGCCAAGCTTGAACGGTGAGTAAATTGGCAATTCGTTCCTTATTAATAAAATGCGGGGGGGTAACCATGCGATGGACTAGCATCCCAACCAGGAGGGAGTAGTGATACTCCTAATCGCTTCATGTTAAGGAAACCGGGATAAGCTCAGGCTGAGCGGGCCAATAGGCTGAAGTACAGACTTTTTCTTTGCCTTGCTTTAATGGAATTGTCAACTTTCAGAATATTCTTTCTGCAATGACACCTTTAGGATGTTGGCACAAACTTTTTCAGAATGAGATGGTTTGTGGGTCAACTAGTATTTCGTGTTATGGCTCTATCAAATACACCGATTCTAGTCTTGAGTGCTCGTAATTCTTTTTGGGCGTTTCGTTCTGTCATTTATTTATTTTTAAATTTTGCGTCTTTATTCACGTATTAAATAGTTATAGGCAAGGTTCTGTAGTGATATCACTGATCACGGTTGTCCTTTGTTTCCGTCAGCTTAAAAAATGATCTTGTTTTGAAAAACCAAGACATTAAGATGATCAGCGATCGACTTCTCGACTTGATGGTAAGAGAATTAGTTTTTTTAACACCCAGTGTCTCCGTATCAGAAAGTCGCGATAGAAGAGTTGCTCAAATGTTCTCAACTACGTTTAGACCTGAATATCATAGCTATTCTGAATTTCTACAAAAGGATTCAAGAGAGAGGGGTCTAGAATATTCAGCTCGTCACGCGACCCGGGCCAAACCTCACCTTTTTGTCGACCCGACCCAAACCTCCCCTTTTTTGTCGACCCGACCCAAACCTCCTGTTTGTCGACCCCACCCAAACCTCCCCTTTTTAGTCGACCCGATCCAAACCTCTCCTGTTTGTCGACCCGACCCAAACCTTCCCTTTTTGTCGACCCGAATTAACCTTCCTTCGACCTTCTTTCTTATTATTGTTATTATTGGATGATTGATATTTGCCTCCCTCAGCAAAGTTTGAAATTTGTCTCGAGAGTTCGTTTGATTCCTGTTATATTGGTTATAACAGAACGAGATGGAGTGTCCTGTTTGGTTAAAAAATCTAAAATGGAAAGCACTTGGGTTACAGATTTCTTTCTTCTGAAGTCAATTTGCATTTATCTTTTTATCTTAGACGCAGCCGGATCATGCTACATCCGGGTTTCCCAAAAATGCTTTAGAGCAGTCATCCGACGATGACACGTGACAACCCACTTACTGTATATGTGTGTCATGAGACAATATGTTTGCAGTGTAATTTAAAACCATAAGTTCGCTTCGAGAAGTGTAAATATTCTCCCACTGATAAGCATCAATATTTTGTGGCTAGAGTTGTCAGTTGTAATCCGTTTAAGGATTTGAATTACGCTTTAACACGTTTGCATCTTTTTGTAACCCGCCTGTTGAAGATATGTACAGCGTTCCATCATTTAAATGATGTAATTTTTGAAACCTTGTTTATACACTGAAGATGTTGAAATAATTGTTTTAAAAAGACCATTTTGAATGCACTATATTTTTTATCATGATGCGCAAGGCTGAAAAGGAAATAAAGAAAATTTGTTGAGAAATTTCAGAGGTGAAGTGAATGGTCCCTTTTTTATCTTCTTTGGGCTTAATTTTTCATATAACCGTTTTTATTTCACCATTAATTTTATTTACATTTGATGGATCAAAGGATCGCATAAAGTTGCTAGACCAATTACAATGCGAGGTGAAGCAAAACCTGTTAAATCTCTTGAACACTGACTACAAAATTGCTTTGTATGCATGTTAACAATCAAATGATGACGGATCTGGGAAGAAATTAGTGTCTTGAATCAGAGACGTCAATTAAGATATATTTAATAAGATATTTAGTCGCAAAAAATGCTCGGAGCTCTCATAATTGCGTGGTCATTACACCACAATTCTGTGAGTTCAGTTTCTCTTAATATGTTCCTACTTTCATGCCATGAATGAAATTCAGCAGGAAATTTCTTGTACAAATCAGAATCTATCTTGCCTCATTTTGGACCTGATTAATAAAGAAAGCAAAAATTAATGTTTTTTGATAATTCTTTGAAGTTAAATTCTATAACAAGGAATTTTGAATTTAAAGTAAGTGATTTTTATCTTATTCTATATTATTTTTTTATTTTTGTTTGTCTGTCTTCTCGTTGTTCTTTCAGTGTTTTTCGGTTTGCGTGCGTTTGATTATTTTTCTACTCAATTTTATGAGGATTTCTGTCAGTTGTTTTTGAAAGGTTAAAAACTGTCAAAAATACCTTAAGATTCGTTATTGCACGCCTCCGTCTGTGACCAATTCCAAACCGAGAATGAAGGTAGTGAGTGCGGTATGGACCGCCGGGCCCTGGTTATAAGGTAATGATCTGATTAGTAATTCTTGCTGCCAGCTTCTAAGAATTTTCTCGTAAGTTTGTTGGGAGAATTTTCTGTTACATCAAGATAATTGTGTCAAGTTGGCGAGTCTGTCTATCCTCATTACTTGTTTGCCAGATGATATATTGCCGGAATTTTCAAGAGAAGCCATTTGAGATCAGTATGGGAGGCTCATGTTTTATGCTTTGGTCTACTGCGCATCTAGGTTAGAGCCCAGGCCGTTTCATTGTGTTGTGTTCCCTGGGCAAGTCGCCTTAATCTCAACATGCCTCACTCAGCCCAGGACACCCGCAAAAAGCTGGAGAGTAGCTTTAGGTCTAGCAAGGAGTAGCAAAGCTAAAATGGCGTCATCATGGCCATGATGATAACAGATAATAACAATGATCAATAATAAGCTCCCACCTATGCGAATTTAACATATTATACAAACTTGATCCTCGATCTCATTTTGTTAATATCATTCTAAACGCGTCTTTGATGTAGCACAACCTGGATCGAGGGGTAGCCTCAATAAGTCGGAAGTGTCTACACTGGTCAGTTCTGGCCATTCTACTCATACAAATTCATTGGTTAACAACAGTATCAGCAAACAAACTCTACTGTATATGGATAAAGATATTGTCGCGAGATTATGAGTTCATCCACTCTTGACCGTTATAGAGAAATTTAGAAGACATTTAAACCATTTCGATTTCACAAATCTGTTAACATTATAATGGGTTGACTTGTATAGGTAAACTACAGTGTGGAAGAGTTGTTGAGTTTAATTTAATGTAATTGTTTCAATATTTCATCCAGAGTTCGACATGCTTACCTCCCATGACCGATGGGAAATCAGGATGATCGTGCATGTACACTCCTTTACTGTGGTCAACAACCTTTGCGATACTACCTGTAAGAGACAACTAGAAGGTTTATAAACTGTCTAAATTCTTAAAATGGCTCGACCCCAATGGAAGCCATTCGATGACTTTCTTGTCCTGGAAAGTAAAGCTGTCAAAAGCACCAGATTTTGTCTCCACTACACAACAAATAACATAGTAGTGTACACCAAATAAGTTTATTTAAGGAAGCCTGCCGAGAACCAACGCGAGGCATATATAGCCCGGGGCATGCATACATACATATATTCGCAACTGATATACCATATACAATCCTGATATACAGTCAATTCCTTACACATTAAGAAAAAAGAAGGTAAACATTACTAACATGCAAACTTCGCCAAGTCTGGATTAACAGAGATGGGCAACCGCTTACAAGGACACAACTACGGTTATACAGAGGCCAGAAAAAACCTGCCAGAAAAAACCCCTTTGGGGAAAAAAACATGACAGGAAATCTGGGTAGGAACCATGGCCCAAACTCAGAGCAGTTGGCAGCCCATCCTACGAGGCTTCACAGCTAAAGAAAATATGTTTTCAAACTAAACTAAATTTGTCATCAACCAGAGGTGAACGGTTGGTTCTGAGGCCTAGATGGACACCACGTGCTATACTTTCCTTTATATACCACTGCATCATTACCCATGATGCTCGGGCCTAAGGCCCAGGCCATGTCGTATCTCGTGCCGACAAAATATTTATTTCTGCCTTATTCGCAGACTCATTCGTCAGAAATACCATTTTTTCAGGCCGAAAATCATATAAAATAGGTGTATTGCAAATTTCCTTTATTTTCAGTAAATGATTTTTACGAGTCATATAAAAGCAGTTTATGTGGCAGTGATCGATTATACTTCATTATTAGAAACTGGATCATTGGGTAACGCAATTCATGAGTTTTCATTGGCTTAGCCATCATGGCTTATGAGCCATTACACCATGCATGCTCAACAAATATAGTGAGTGTACATGTCAAAATATAAAGTTTACAAAATAAAGTTGGGAATATTTATCCATAATTTGGGGCTTTTTAAATAACACATTCCACTTGCGCTTGCTGGATATTGATAAGATGATTATGGCAAACTCGGCTCCACGGGACTCTTTGAGTGTCTATCATCTCATATCCAACGCGCGCTTGTTGAATAATTGTCAATTATACTTCATTTCCCAGCATAAAGGTTTGACAGTCAAGCTGAAGACATACAATGCAAGTGATTTTACAAGCTATTGCATATTGCATATTGCGACCTCTAAGCTCATCTTCTTTGTTCTTAGTCACGAGATCTAGTCGCCAATCTTGATTAATTGACCGTATTGGTGATTCGCAAGGAAGAGCGAAGGTGAATTACTAATTTCTAGATATAGGTAGTTCACTATTTGTACACCCGATCGCAGTAAATAACGAAATTTGCCTTTGGCGTGTAGAAGGCTACGGTAGGCTATTTACGACGATAGCTGTGATAGATGTTATGAATCACCTAGTGTGTCAGGCGCCATAGCGAAATGTTCTGTATAGCCCTTAAAAACCGGGTTTAAATTTCAAGGAAACCTCTATTTTAGATGGCGAATTTTCTGTATAGCCCTTAAAAACCGGGTTTAAATTTCAAGGACACCTTTATTTTAAATGGCGAATTTGCGGTATAACATCTTACAACCTGTTTCCTTTTTCTCGGGTCACATCATTATCTTAGAAAATAGCAAAGTCTAGGTCTCGTCTCAAAAACAGGTGTTCGGACCCACCTGCGTGACTTGCGATAACTAACAGCGACATGATGACAATCAGATGAAGAGAAAATTTGGTCAGCATCTAAAAATTTAAGAGGAAAAAAAGTTTAAAACTACGCAACGCGATGATAAGAAATAATGTTCACCCAAAGGTCAGCAGTTGTCTGATGTTAATGTAGGTGTTCGTTGTCATCGGTTCAGATATGGTTGATACAAAGAACATAGGCGAATTTCCGGTAATAAAGCCAATGTAAATATAAATTCTCGAGTTAGAGGCTTGAATAACAGTAGCATTAGAAAATGCATTCCCTTCCTCGTCTACGGAAAATAGAATAACATAATACTTCTTAGGAAGCTAGTCGACTGAAAAAGCTAACTTGAGAAATAGCAACCCATACAAAAACATTTGACTGCGGAAACAGTCCAACCATGAACTGAGTTTGCTCTTCTCAGTCGAGCTCGTTAAACCCCATAAACAGGACGTATCTGAAGGGTTATCGACACTTTCTCTTCAAAATGAATCAGTGATCTCAATATGGTATTTTTTGCAAGCAGTTAACACCCTTTGGCAGTAAGTGAAACACATTGTAATCCCAATGCTACTTAGCGGATTGCAATGGATGAAGGAAGAATTAAGTGACGCTCCGTAAATCAACGTCCGGAATCTGGTCAGTCCTGAATGTATTTCCGCTTTGTAAATATTTGTTTTTATATCTAAGTGGAGGGATGTGTCAATCAGCAGTTACAGAGAATCTTGTATCTGATATCCAAAATTATATAAATTAGAAGAAATAAATTAAATAAAGTGGTACTTACATTTGATATAAAAAAAGTTCTCTAATACGACCACAAAAGAGAGACGATTTCTTCTTTCGAATTTTCTAAGATTAGGCCTTTTAATATTTTCAAGTGTGAACTGAGAGGAAACTCCTAATTTTTAGCTTTAAAGGGAAAAATTGCTAGTTTTTCTCGTTTTGCGCAATTAAATTATTTATATCTCAACACGTGGTCCTTTTAAATCAATATTTTTGGCACGCTTATTCAAGGGCCGTCAAAAAAGTGCTAACCGTCCAATCTCATTTAAATTTTTGAACTTCAAAAAGAATTGGCATAAAACAGTTTTATGCGTCGAGAGGAATTACGTTCGACTATGTAACCTCAATGCAAATCACCATATTTTCGTAGTCATAGCTATAATTGAACTAGGTGGTCGGCATGTAGTATATTCACCAAGTTGGACGTAAAACATTTGAAACCCCGTATTCACCTGTGGCGGAAAGTCGGTTGACTCGCCATGATCACAATATCCATATTTATGGCACAGTTCTTTTCTTCGCCATCATCTCATCAATACACATCGGAGGACATGGCCTGGCCAGAAACGATTTTTCAATGGGCTATGTCTAATACCCCATTCACACCAGCAAAACATGTTTTGTTAAACTGGTTTTCATTGAATGAAAATTGTAAACAGAGAACTGAAAAACTTGATTTTCCATTGGATTCAAGTACTTGCTAACTTGCATTTCCAATGTGCTACATTCAAGTCAAAAATATTCGGTTAAATAGTTTCTATGAAGAAAAAAAAATTAAACTGTGTTTAACAAAACAACTTTTAAACATGTTTAAGCTTTGGTGTGAATGGGGCATAAGTTTATTACCATAAGACCCATAAGACACCATCAGCATCTTCACTGAAAAAAACCCCAAAAACAAAAAAACGAAAAAAAAAACAAAAAAGCAGAAACAAAAACAAAAACATTAAAAACATCTCTGTATTTGGGCCACACGTGATGGCGAGAGCAAGGTCGTAAATACTCACGCGGCGCAACGTACAGCCTCGCAAGATGCTAAGGCCAGAGGAGGAGAGGAAGAATAAAGAGAGGGGGTATATAAAGTGCTTATTGACTAGGCGGTCAGGCCGGACAGAAAATATTTGATTCTCGGCCATAAAATACAGACGTCGCTGCATTCATCCGATACTTGGTAATCTCAGCTCAAATCTTGAAGAATCTCAAACGAATCTGTTTATTTACAAAATAAAAAACTCAGAAACAGCATCAGTCTATCTTCATGTTTAGGAAATCCTGAAGCGGAAGCTTTTACTCCATACAAACATTGTATCCCGTGTGTGCTGCTTTATCTGAAGTTCCCAACACAAACTTTTGGAAAATTAATCTCACAATCTGACTGTATTTCCTATCCAATGTTTCTTGTTAATAAAATTTCGCAGGTGATTACGGCGTACTATGAGAGAAAAACTGTTGAGGATTACTGCACCTTGGGGTTGCCTGCAACGAAATTCTTATCTTTTTCTAAACAAATCGCGGTTGGATACGTTCATTAGCTTTCACCTCTAGATCTCGCGAGCTAACTCTAATATTCACTACTTTTCTAACTGGCTGCTAAGATTGATTTAGTTTTGGTTATTAGATAATTCATTCTGCCAAAATAACTCTCCACAATGTATCATTTCATTGAAAGAGAATTTTATAATGATAATTTTGTTGATGTCACTGAGGCAGAATAGACGAAATATAAATATGCATCCAGGAGAAATTTCATAAACATTGCGCAGGTGTGATCATCATGTAATCTAGCTAGACCTCATGTTGAGACTGTCAACAAATAGCACACGTTTCCGGCGATCCAGTCCATAAGCACACATATCTATCGAGAGCTGTATATACATTCAGGTTCATTCTATAAATAACACTGGTGACTAATTGTGAACGACTCTGAAGACACGTTGGTTGGATACCGCTGAGCAGTGACAATCACTGGCAAACATTTCAGATGATCATCTTTGTGTTACCATGGCGATGATGAAAAGTCACATTAGTGGACCATATGGTGGACGACGCTTACGTTGTCTCTCTACTTCATCACACGGATTCGTACTCCTTTTGCCAGTCTTGGTATTTGCCTTTTAACTGCCTGGCGGATGGTTTTGTGTGCTTCAACGCAGCATCTACGTCATCAGTATTCACGGGCTCAATTTCCAGTCTTGGCAGCGGTGTTGCACGGCCGTCTGATCCCTCTGTGTGAACAATAACGGAAACTTTTGGAGAAACTGACTAACAATGATGTTACTTTTAAAATAGGGTGGCTTTGCAGCTACAACTACTATTTTCACACTCAATTTCTCCCAATTTCTTCCCATTAACCAATATGAAATAGGAATCTCCAGCTTACTTTGTGTACTTAAGGAAAACTGAAGGAACAGGGCGGGGCAGGGGGGGGGAGTGGGAGGAGAAGGAAGGACTTAAAAGCAAACTTAGGGTGACAAAAATTAAAAATTAATTTATTACCTGGAGTAACAAAGATGAAAACCAAATTCATAGATCACAAGCGCACACACTAAATTGGACTGGGATCCAAATGAGGGAAGTACTGTGCAACAGGATACGGGGTAACGAAAAATAAAACCCTGCTTCTGTTTTCACAAAAATTAAAGAGATGAGATATCTAATGACCCGCCTCTAATCGCCTTCCAACTCTTCCCTATTGTAGTAAGTAGAATCTCCACGCAGAGAGATGCAACTGCTATTTAAATTTATGACGTGCCTACCAGCTTGGTGACTCTCTAACAGGTCGAATATCTTCCTGACTTTCCTCATGGCTGCTTCCTTACAAAGAAGGCGAATGTCAGAGCCCGAGTAACCCTCTGTGCGCTGAAAAGAACAAGCAGACCAACAGAGTTAATTAACGGATTATGTGGTCAGCTGCCTACTTTAGTGTAGACACCTACGTTGATAACGTAAATGGTCCACCGAACGGGGAAATCTTCTACAAATCATAGATGTTTCGAGAATATGTCCCAATCCTGTTCTCGCCTCCCCCATCTCCCCTCTCCCTTCACCAAGGGACACAAGGGCGATATACCCCTCATGGGAAGGAGATGACGGATTGAAGAGAAACTGTAAACACTTAAGGTTATGATGAGGATATTCTCGTGTGATGGTTGCATTGTTACCTTTGCCAGTTCTCCATAGTCGATATCTGTTTTTATCTCCACACTTCCTTCCCCTGAGTGAATTGACGGAGGTAGGTATTGTTTCAACATGGCTTCCCTAGCCTCTAAACTAGGAAGGTCGACAAGAATTCGCTTTTCTAAACGACGTAGCATTGCATGATCAAGCTCCCTATGGAATGAATCAGAATGCAATGTTAGAGATAAACAAACTTTTATGGCATTCGGTCGTTAACTCGCCTGAGTCATAGGCGAGCTGACACAAGGTGAATTTAATCTGGCGCTATAGTTTTAGTGTATGCAGATAAACTAAGCAAGTATCCGCTTCAAACTGACGACTTTTGATCACGTCAGCCTTCGTCTCTGAAAACAATCCCTCAGCCGACGATTGTCAGATACCCATGTGTTTTTAAAAATAATTTACTGTCACTGATACCATGGTAAGTTTGAAGCAGCCAGGAGGAACACTAGATCATCTGATCTTGCCAGACCATCCATCTGTACGAGCAGTTCTGTCTTCATTCGCTTGCTACCTTCGTGCTCGCTTCTACAAAACGAAATACAGCCATTGTGATTCGATTACTAACTACATGTACATGTATCCTCCCTTCAGTCATTTTGGTCTTCACTTACCCTCCTCCACCTGCTCCCCGTTGACTCATCAGAGATTCCAGCTCATCAAGAAAGATAGTGGACGGTGCATGAAAGCGCGCAAGCTCAAATAAAACCTTAAATAGAAACATATTAAATAAATAACTGCAACAAAAATATGTGTGCCTGAATGTGATGTTCTACAACAGGCGGATATTGTAACAGAGGACCTTTGGATTGAAAGTTGTAATGCCAAAACCAAAGTTATCAAGACGGCCAATCAGAACAAAAAGGAGATATCACAAAAAGCCAATGAAAATACAAAGTAAAAACGAGCAAACTGCATGAAACGCGAGAAAACGCGAGTGACTAAGTCGCGATTGAAAGTAGTTTTGTATCTGATTGATTGAGAGAGTACCGCGAAATTCCCTGATAATAATAATGGCGCTTGATCTTTAGAATCAATGAGCATCTCAATTACCGGAATAGAAAGTAGAAGGATTGGGTTAAAAGTTCTCTTTTTTTTTGTTTTTGTTTTTGTTTTTTTTGCAATAACGATTATCGCAAAAGGTATTCAACAGTAACAATGACATTAATACCCTAACAAGTTTCTCTGAGTCCCCTCGCCACTTGCTCACAATGGACGAGGCTGATATGTTAAAAAACGTCGTCTTGCATTCTGTTGCCACAGCTTTGGCCAGCAGGGTCTTTCCGGTTCCTTACAAGGTTGAAAATATAAATAAGTAAGTGCCTCTACTAAAAAATGTGTCTTTGAAACCGCAAACCTGTCGATTCGTTTAATAAGTGGTTACCTATATGCAAAGACAGTACGCGAATAGTCTAAACGTTGATTTAATGACCTAATTCTCCAAAGTCTGGGTGAACACACAAATTCACAAAATCAAGAACGATGGTTTCAAGAACACAATAACAGAAACTCTCACTCAGTTAAAAATAATTTCCAAATGTTATCTAACCTGGTGGTCCATATAATAAGAGTCCTTTCCAGGGGGACAAAATGCCAGTGAAGAGCTGAGGGTACTGAAAAGAAAAAAGAAGAAATATAGTATTAAATACAAAACTCAATACCAAATAAACTGAAATGAAAAAAGAAGACAATAAATTACGTCGGATATACGACGCGCCATTTGTTTCAACGCATTGCTGATCATCGACTCTGCCATTGGTCGCCACCTGAGAGATGCCCATGGGAACATTGACTTACTCAATGAGAGCCAGTTTAGAATGCTTAAAAAATGTGGCACGAAATGGGATTGTCTTGTTTATGAAATGTTGTACATAAGAACAATAAGGCCCAATTTAAACACCCAGAGCGATTCCATTAGGGCCAAACTCTTTGTTTAACTTTTAACGCTTTGTAATTTATTCACCGCTTCATTATATATATACTCGATTTTATTATTCTAGTTCACTTGATAATGACGTTCTGGAAACGTCGAAACGTCGTGTTATGTTTTATAATATTTTATCGCAGATTTTTATTGTCAAATGCTTTACCAAATCTTTACTTATTCGAAAAAAGAAGAAATCTAGTATTAAATACAAAACTCAATACCAAATAAACTCCTGTTTAACCTTTGTATTCTTTGCCTGAATTGGAGCATGGTTCAATTGCAAATTATTTCGAAACAAAATGCAGACCTTTGAATGACACTTCTACTGCCCCAAAATAAAGCATAACCTTGCACAATTTTGGTTTTTGTCCAGAAACTGAAAAAATTTTGCAGCTAATTTAGGGTCACTCATATTTAAAGCCGTCAAAACTTCTCTGTGATTGGAGTAATTCTTGAAATTCTGGAAATTCTTTACAGTTGGATGATAGGAACTTGTTTATAGTTTTCTGTGACAAAACAATTAAAGACACAGATCACAGGTGACAGACCAACCTTGATTGGATAGACTACAGCTTCCTTAACAAGCCTCTTAGCAGCATCCAAGCCAATGATGTCATCCCATCTTACATCAGGGTCATGAAGGTAAATATCCTGTTAGAAGGAATCCCCACATGAAGACTGAATCAAATTGACTGTAACACCACCTAATTCATATATTGCTGTACTTTAATGTACTTTTACACTTTAATGTTGAAATAAATATACTAATCAGCTATGATAGAAAAGCTGCTCACGAATTACACAATCATGCTTTAAACTCAATGAAAATTAAGTAACAGAAACATACCCTGCTGATGACAGCAGCCAAGTCTCTCCATTCTCCTGTTAGCCCAGCAAATCCACCAAGAGGCTTCAAAAGTTTTTCCTACAGAAAAAAAATTCATTATCTCAGTAACAGTAACGTGTAGTCATTACCATAATGTTAATAATTTTACAAATCCAACTATGCAGCGAAAAAGTCTACATGTAGTCCCTTCAGCCAGAGATTAACTTTAGTTACCCTTAGTTTCTTAATCATGATGTAATTTCCATTGGAGTATTGCTCCTCTCCCTGGATGAGATTCCATTTTTTCTTACACAGGCTACCCCTCCTCCACCCCGACCTCTTTCTCAGTTGACCCTGGTAATGATTTCCAATAAGGTTCTAGCTGAGTCATTAGACAACCTACAAATTAAAGTCTCTCTCATTAAGACTCTTTTCTGGAAAAAACCCTTCACTCAATGAAGTATTTTTTTTAGATTCAAACCAGTCACTGCGAATGGAGACTGAAATATATCATTTCATAAACTTTAAGGAAACAGGGAATCTATCTTAAGTGTAAATTAAAGCAAATTGATGTGTTCTGCAAGTTTTATTTCTAATTCCTTATGTTTCTACATTGTATTAATAAAATAAGGGTAAACTTACTGAGGGATCTGTAACTGCCATATATTCACCTTTGACTGCATTATTCAACATGGCTCTCATATCAATAATAACATTCTTAAAGAAAAAGAAATGTTCATATTCAGAATTTCATGGACCCTGCACCAAATAAATAATATTATGTTCAATTTTTATGATAACCATGGGTTGAATTTGAGGGTTGATATTTATGTTTAAATCTAAAACTTGATTATAATTATTACTGTGGTATCAAAGGGTCTTAAATTTAAAGCCTTGTAACAATATGTATTCAGATTCTGAAACAGAAAGTAATTAACTCTTGTCCATAATTCCAAATTCAAGGCAATAAAGATTTTAAGATGATATTATCGTGTAAAGCTGGATATTTTTGTAAACTGTGCCTTGAAACTACATGAATAGAGGTGACTCTTCCTACAGTATTTGATCTATACTTTTCTTTATTTAATTTTCTCCACCTTTCCATGAGTATTTTGGTTTGATGGATTCCTAGAAGTGTTTGTTATTGATGTTCCTGCCAGGTTCAACTCTGAATTTGTGGCTGATGCAAGGCCATTGCCAGGAGGTGAGCCATTTTTCTGGAAAATAGTGTGTGTGAAACATTAAGGTAAAGCAGAATCTGATTAAAAATTGTGTATGTAAAGAGCTGTAATTCATGATGATAACTTGATTAGGACCTCCACAAATTTACAACAGTCATTTGTAATCTTCTTTCCTAAAGCTTAAATTAAAATATTCATAATTATTGTTACCTTTAATTATTATCATAGAATATAAATTGCAGTCACAAATAACCATGGACAATAATACGCTCCAAAATAGAACTTCATAGCACAAAATAAAGAACAAAGTAATACAAAGTAATAAAACAAAATAAAAAGTTCACATAGAAGCATGGATGGTGCAAGCCGAAATCAGTTGTTAATACCCTCAGGTTCTACATATTAACATGGTCTAGATTGTGTCATATGTATCAGCTTCTGGAGTTCACAGTATTTCCTAAAACTTTCATTTCTAAACAGTAACTGCACACACATTCTACCTCTTGTTGTCTCTGTTTTGTAGTTGATGTTTTTCTTTTGCCATCACTACTGGGTCTTTTTGATGAACTTGGGGACTGAGAACTATCTGTTGATCCTGAATGGCCATTAATACTTGGAAGTGACACAGAACTGCTACGAGAGCTGATAAAAAGGCATTCAAAAGCATATGCCTCATTTACTCACAACTAGTTATGAACTGAGATTGATTATATGTTAACAACTGCATCGCCAAGTGGAGGTTGGGTGCCTGAGACATCCATGAGCTTTCACTAATGGCAACCAGCTCCTAGATGGAGACTGCTCCCATAGCTAGCAAATCCTGGCAACTCAGCCATGAGCCCCCACACAGGAAAGGGAAACAGGCACCTGTCACACTGAATAAACAGTTGAAAGAGAGAGGGAAGGGGTGGGGAAAACTGACTGGAGCATGAGCTGCTACTCCAAGCAACACTGAAAGTTGACGCTCAAAGCATGTGTAAGAACATCTCAAACAAAGAGGAATTCTGAAGCATGTGCAGCTACAAAAACCATTGACTTCTAGAGAATGTTGATGCTCTTTGCTGTTAACCCTGTTAAATTTCATTTACTGCATTATAAACATGCAATCCTACTCTGATCAGCTGTGGGGGCATGGAAAGGGATGCTGATGTACAAGAAAAGTATGTGAACAGACAGGCATGAATAATTGTATATTCATTTGAGCCTAGTTGTTCAAAAGGCTGATAACTCTATCCATTGGATACATTGCCATTAAGAGGATAATTTTTTTAACAATTAAGTATTGTTAAAACAATAAGTAATGTGCTATCCACTGAGTAGAGATTTATCCCGTGGATAGCATTATCCACTCTTGTAACAACTGGGACCTGGGATGATTTGTGGCTTGGTAATAATTATGTATCATTTACCTTCCAGATAAAGATTTTGGCTTTGGAGGCAATGCCCTGTTGGTATCAGCTGAAATTTAAATCAGTCAATAAATTAGATTTCGAGGCTCAACGTAAATATTAAAAGCAAGAGAACTGTTATGTTTAATTAGAAATTTTATTAGACTCGTAAAAAAAGTGTCCTTACCACTTGTCACCCTTTTCTTTATAATTTTCGGCCCTCTATTAAACTTTACCAAATGATACGACTCAAATTCCTGCAAAAAGTCACAGAAAAATGATTCTTGCCAAAGGATTTTTATAATTTTACCAGATACTAAGGGGAAGAGAAAATGTCCAGTTGAAGACTAAAGAAGGAAAGAAAAAAGGAGAAACTATGTAGACTACCATCTATTTTGGTTTCTTCGTGTTATCGAGCTTACAACTACCAATATCTAGATACTTAGAAAATTATATTACCTGTAAAATTGTTGGCAAGTCAATGTTGTCGCAGACTTCATACTTGGTTAAACTTGCACCACCTTCTTTCTCGAGAGCATGAGCGGAATCAATATAACTGCAGAAAGAAAATGGAATTCTGAAGAAAGACGATTTCTAATTTAATTCTAACGGAGGACAATACAGTTTTAGCTTAATTGTCAATTACGCTTTATTTTATAACCCTGGATTCTGACTATTGCACACGAGCTATTTTCCGACTTACCCCTCTTCTCGTAAGTAATGGGTGATAAGTACCAATAGAGTTCTTTTCCGCTGTTCGCATCGTTGTTCTTCCTATCAAGATAAATACAGTAACTAAGCTGAAATTTTATATTTGTTTTCGAAAATTTTATATAAAGCCAAACAATAATAAAACAATATTCTAGTGAAAATTCTTACCGCTTGTCTTGCTTCATTCGCAGTCTTGAGCTGCATATAGCTAAGTTCTTGTGTCATCTATCTGCTACAGGAAATAATTTTTCGAACTTTTAGTTTTTCCAGGTCGCAAGGGACGCCATTTTGTTTTTCCACTTAGTGATTTAGAGCCCACTGTGTTTTCATACTGCGGGTTTCGATTGGGTATACCCGCGTTGTATGTTGGGAAGGAAGAATGGCGTTCGAAGAGTCATTCGAAAGTGTTGACTAATCAGTTTAAAAAACAATGAGAATATTGTTCATCAGAAGGTAAAATAAGACCATGATCGATACGTTGCGGTGTTCTTAGGTATTCATAATGTCAAGAAAACGACCGAGAAGAAGGGAAGGATCGATTGATAGTCCTGCAGAGCGACTCAGAAAGGCTGTTGCTAGTGGGAATGTAAAACTCGTGCGGGATCTCATCAAAGATGGTTGCTCTGCTAACCAGATGGATGGCAATGGCTGGACGCTTCTTCATTTAGCTGCTAGTAGAGGGAAAGAACGCGCTCTAAGAGTGCTCCTCGAGAAAGGAGGCGATGCATTTGCGCGAGATTTCGTCGGAGGTTTCACCGCTCTTCATTACGCCGCCATGCACGGACGGACAAGAATCGCAAAACTGTTGTTAGATTTCAAAGGATTAGACAAAGAAAAGCTCGTCGATGCAAGAAGTGAGGATGGTTGGACGCCGTTACATGTGGCTGCACACTACGGTAGAGACTCGTTTGTGGAGCTTCTTTTGGAATCAAAAGGTTTTGTAGACGCGTTAAGCGACAAAGGCACGACAGCTCTTCAACTAGCCATTATTCGTGAAAGGACGAGTTCAATTCGTGTCTTGTTAAACTGGGGAGCTAACATTGATGTTCAATTTGGATTCCCCCTTCGTTATGCTGTTATTAAAGGTAACGTTAATTGTGTACGAATGTTGGTTGAACACGGCGCTCTCACAAGTATCAAAAGGCCTGAGGATGGCCAAACTCCTCTCCATTTAGCCGCATTAAGGAACAGTGAACCTTTGGCACGCTTGCTCTATAAGTTTGGAGCAGATATAAATGTTTACAACGATGAAGGACTTACACCTCTATCGATATCAAGGATGATGTACAACCTAAACTCAATCGATAGAGACTGTTTGGATTTTCTCAGCAGCGTGTCAAGTAAGTGTACATGTAAATAATCGACGTTAGCAAAAACCTATTTTGGGCAAAAGGCAAACTTCCACTTTGAAATGTATCTCTCATTCTTGCACACTAAGAATAATCCACTCTTCTTTTTACATTTATTTTATGCAGGTAAATTTCTCATCCATAGTTACCTTGAGAAATGGAATTTGATTAGACTTAGGAGAGAAAATTGATTTTAGGAAAAGTAAATCGTACTCCTTGATCATAAATATTTATGTGACAAGACTAAATTTCAGTTGGTGTGGGGCTGTCAATTACTTTTACAAAGAGAATGCTTGCTGGAAGAAGTGGAACATGGCATTAAGAACGATGCAAACTAGTGAAGAATATTGTCAACTGCAAGAAATTTAGTACTTTTAAAAAAATATTTAAACATTTTTAAATGTTTAAATATTTTTTTTGGTAAGGGGGAGGCATTGTCATTAATGGCCTTGAAAAGATAATGGTCATGAAAAAGGGGCAATGCAAATGAGTGGTACTGATGTATGTCTTCCAAGAAAAGAGGACATGTCACACTTTCCTCTTTCCATGATCTTCACCCTTTTCAGTGATTCATTTTATGTATTTTACTATGCTTAGTTGTGTATATTATTATTTGTACTTGTTTTCATAATTCAGAATGTGCAAGGCTATTTCTGTTTCCTGATTACACTCACCAAAATATTACAAGAAGTGTACATGAATGTACAATAAAGACCTTTGTTGTGTGTAGTACTGCAGTTCTGCATATGCTATACAGGATTAAGGTCAAACATTTGTAAAGTAACCAAATGGTTACAGAGAGAATATAAAATCAGCTCACCCCAAGGGATGTGAATTGGTGTAGTTATATTTTGTCCTTCACTGAGATAAGTCAATTAAAATCTTTCTCCATTCTGCTGCTAAGCTCAAACTTTACCATCTGTCATATTCAATAAGTTTAAGTGACTTATTGAACTCAATTCCTGTCAATTTTGTGGCATGGATAGTTTGTGGGAGCTTATTCTACCCTACTGGAATGTTTCTTGTTAGCTTGAAGTTTCCAACTCGCAAAAGACAAAACTGAACAAAATTAATCCTGAAATTATAAACTATAGGTGCATTACCTGTTAAGTAAAAATAAAAAAGAAATTTGTTATTATTATTTTCAGAAAATCCAAGGAGTCTACAAGATTCCTGCCGTTTTGTCATTCGGGAAGCACTTGGTGCCAAACGACTTCAAGATATATCTAAGCTACCAGTCTCAATTATAATGAAGGACTTTCTTCTTTACAAATATGAATAATGTAAGATGACAAGTATGAAAGTCACAGCAAACTAACAGAGTTTGCCGGCTATTATTGGGCCAAAAATTGCTCTTTTATTCCTGGTAATGATAAGAAGTAGCTAATGGTAACTTGAGATGTTGGACCTTTGTGTAGTTTCCATGGTCATAAGTTTCCAAGAAGGAGGTTTTTTTTTCAGTCTGTGGCCATTACTTAACATAAGCAGGGCAAATCGCATAAGCTCAGGTACTTTAACAATAGTGCTTTTAATTAGTGCTTTAACAGGTACTTTAACAATGGTACTTTAACAGATTTTACTGAGTCAGGGCAGACACTTTTACAGCTACAGGATGATTTAGATGTTTTTTAATTAATGTTGTATGGGAATATGTTATAGTTTTAAAAGGGATTTCAGCTTAAATTACTTTAAGAAATAGTTTGAATTGTAGTATCCTCTGTTTCATTAAAAACAGAGTCAAGAGAATTACTGTTACCTATGCTGATGTTGTTTGTTTTTACTAATTTTAAGTACCCCATCCCATGAAACTGTCAGTCCCTTAAACTGAACGACAAAGTTCTCATTAATGTGGACTGCTTTAATTAAGCTTGTAAGGGTTGATAGGGGGTTTTGCCAATTCTATGAAGAAGGAAAAATCTTTTTTTTTTTATTAAGCTAAAGAGATGTATAGTTGGTGATAATATTGCAAATATGCATTTAAAACAAATTAATGATAACAAGCCTTCTTTCTCTATCCTTTCCTCCTGGGAATAATTTGTATTAATTGTTTCTCATGCATGTTAACTTTAAAGGTGCACTGCATGGTATGTTTAGGAAGTGTTGAAATTTATTACTTTAATTCTATCTTTGTTAGAAAAAATGAAATATTCTGAACAGATGGTCAATAGTTTTAGGAAAAAATAGCATATTTTACTTTTTCATTGTCATCTTATTAATTTGCATCATAGAGTCAGTTTCATCACAGTCGATTTTTGGTTCCCATTTTGCTCTCAATAGCATGTTGTGCATTTTAACAAGTCTTTTAGGTGTCAGTGTCATGGTAACATGCATGTTTTTATTGTTTGAATTTATCAAATAATAAAGTTTCAAACTTTAAATTGTGCTCGTAATTTAGGAATTTAGTGCTAGCTACAACAAGGTATGATTTTATGTTGTGGTCATTTGATGTGGCAATAGATGAAGGTGTTTATTTAATAATTTTGTCCTTAGTGACTAAGCTTGTAGTAAAATGTGACCAAGGGGGGTCCACTCCTCCACGGGCAAACTGCTTCTCCTTAAAAAATTTCCTGGATTAATCTCAAAAACACTTATAATTGGGTCATTGTGTGTTTTTTTCAAACACATTTTAATAGTTCCCTTTATCATTTCACTTACTTTTGTTGTTTGTTTTTGTGGCGTTTTGCTTCTTTTAGCATCATTTGTGCTAATTTGTTGCCCCTTTGTTTGGAATTTAAAGAAGTTAAGGAGTTTTTATTCAAGCCAAATGCTGTGGTCTAGTAAACAAGTCTAATACATATTTTCTTCAGAGTTTGGACTCTAGCCTCTTTTTTAGTGAATGTATTTTTTCCTAGTATTGACCAATAACTTAATCCTAATCCTTTTGGTTTGGGCCTAGGTCAATGTTGTTGTTTTTCATTAGGAGCATAATAATTTCTGCACTGAAAGCCTCACGCAAAATAACTCCTGATGCTATCGAATGTTATGAATTAAGATTGCACCGTATGTTAATGGCTGAGTAACCCCTCACCACTGGAAAAACTAATTTCTGGCAACTCTGGCGTGAAGCGTGACTTCTGCAATGGGGGTTTTTCTTTGTGCTGATTGAGTGTTTTTGTGTGCAATGTGGATATTTTCTGCCACAGATAAATTGTTGATGCCGTGATACCATGATATGGACCAGTTGATGCCATAAACAGAAAAATAATAAGAAAAGATTAAAACTGCAAAGTTTTTATGCGATCACCTGGATTACTTCTGAGTAGATTTCTGGGATAGATGGTTCTTTCTAGTGACGTCATAATTGTCGCCTAGTAACCACTGAAAAATGTAGTTAACGTGTTTAATCGTACTCCATGCTTCGCCGGTGAGCTGCAGAGAGGACTCGAGTCTACTTTTCGTTTGTGCGCTCTCTGAACTCTTATCTCGACAGCCTAACGGTTTTGCAAGGTAATTAGTTTTCAAAGAAAATGTTGGCTCATCGAAGTTGCCAGTCCAACTCATAGTTTTGTCTTGTACTTGCAGAAACTTCAGAGAAGTGAATGACGCGTGCAAGCCCACTCGAGAGGAAAACAAATGAAAAAATACCAGTAAGTGATTAATGAAAATTTCAGTAGTTTGTTTGTCGATCAATTGCGACGTTTTTTACGATAAATTCTAAAGTGCACGACTTTTCAAGCGAAGAGCCGAGTACGGAGCGGACGCAAATCCTAATTTAGCTTACGCCAAAGTGGTCCAAAGTAAACAGATACCGTGGTGTGAAAGATCGGCAATCCTGGTTCAATTATTTCTCTCAATCTTTCAGTCAGCTAATCAATAGTATTATATTGCGCTTACATTACTGCACGAACATGAAAATAGTTATTATCCAGGTGATTCCTCAGTTTTGCATTGTGCATCCTGTACTGCGTATAAAAATCGCCTACTCAGAGGAACTAGCTCGCGCGCGCACTTGAATCCATGGATCAGGTAGAGAGTTTCGATCGTCTTTCGCTCTTGAACGAGCACGGTGCCCCATATCTTTTGCGTAATTTTTTTATTCTCCATAAAATTGAGGAAATGAAAAGAATCGTCAAAAGGAATAAAGAGATAAAGCTAAAAGCTTGCTCAAAGCCCGTTACTCAAGGATGCAAATGATGACCTTGAAAGAAACAACTTGAGGAACGTTTTGAGTCTATGTCGTTTAAATTTGCGTGATTTTCCCACAAATTATAAATTAAATTGTTTTATACGCTCGTTACTTTCTACCTATCTAGTTTTTTTCAAGTGTCAGTTTAGAAACCCCTTCTTCCTGCTGCAGGGAAATATACCGTGAACCACGCAAGTGATTTATGCAAGTACAGGCATAAATTGGTAAGTTTGGCCCACTATATCTCCCAATCAAGCACAGTGACCTATCTTTTTTTATCGTATTTTTTTAAACAAACATTGGTAGGGAAAAAAATTGCCCAATAACTTTTTTTTTCAGAAGAATTACCTTAATATTAGCACTGCAAAAGAAGCGTTTTTCCGCCCCCGATAAGATTTGAGAGACGAGCCGGGGAGAGGTTGGCCGGGGTCCTGGGACTAATATCAGTATCTGTATCCCGGCTCACCTCTCGCCGACAGGGAAAGGACAGTTGACACGTCGTGCCTGTGTAAGTGGACAGAGCATGCTTTTTTTTATGAAAAATTAAAACCGATGTCTAGTTTCTATCTCAAATGTTGTCGTAGTTTTGATGAATTATAACAGGACTTCGTGTAATCCAATTCTGACTGTGATCATGCTCGTGATTAACAAATCTCTGTTTTCGTTGAATCTCGTTATTCGGCTGCACCGGGCATGCTTTTGCATCTGATCAGAAGAAAAGGGACTCGATATTTTTTTCTTAATATTCATGTCTTTTTTATCTTAACTAACAGTAGATAATTTAAGTAGTTATTTCTCTTAGGCCTCCCCCCTCATGAGTTGTAAGCTTATTACCAAAACACTGTGGTGGATCAAGGGCGTAGCTAATATGTGTGGGGGGGAGGTGGGGCTTTTTTGTCACATTAAGTAAAACACGGCGCGGAGGTCGACATGACAGTCTGGTGAGTTCCCTTTGTTTGACACAGTGTAACCCCTCCCCCCTTTTTAAAAATACTTGTTACGCCCCAGGTAGATAACACTGACTGATAGAAGATAGCAGTTGTATTGATGAATACATTAACATTTTAATATCTGGCAATAATACTTTGGCTTTGTACAAAGATGCAAGTCTATTATTCTAGCGGAAACTTTCTTCGCAAACTAGGGGAATCTGTCTTAAACTAAAAGAGGGTATGTCCAGAGACTTGGGGTGTGAAGGGAATATGGAAAAAGGAAAGCAAAATATATACACAAATGATTATATGCCTCAGAAAAAATAAGATTCAGTTTCGCTGGCGTGTCTCTATTCTCACTACCTAGTTTGTTGATCCTGCATCGTTCTCCTAATTTTCTGACGGAACGCGGAAAGTAAGATCTGAAAATGTAATTCTATTCTGCACGCCTCTGAGAAATGTTCTTTAAGTTGAAATTGTTTCAACTTTCTACTTCTGCTGTCGTTTTATCTTATCATTATTATTGCGTTATTTCAGTTCAGCCATGTAATGAATGTAATGTTTGCAACTTAGAATTGGATAAGCGCAGCATCGGAAATAATATTTTGTCCACTCAGTCACTATTACAAAACTTGTGCTGTCTGCATTGACAAGCTCTTCGCAAGAGAATAGATATTCTTTTGGTTCCTGTTAACGCTGCGGTAAATCATTCGTATTTCCAGCAATTTCTATAATCTTTTCGTTTTTATTTGCTTTCCTTGTAAGGTTGTGTTTGCAAGCGCCAACTGGGCAGTTGTATCTGGAAAGCAGTTTTTTTAGTATCATACATGGTCATAACAGACACTTTGCTCATCGTTTGATTTATGGACCACTAACACTTCCCTGGCTTATGTTAGCCCTGTGCGATTTGTTATCCATTTAAATTCATCTTCCCTAGCAGCTGTTTATGAACGAAGTGCTCTCTATCCAAACGTGACTGAGTCATTTCCGGGTAACTTTCAACTAGGGATGGTGCACTTGCTAACTTTGTTTGTCGGTACTGGCACGGCTATAGTGTCCATCATGTGTCTTCATACGTCACTAAGTGCTTATAGTATATGCGCGTGGCTATGGTCTACAAACAGGCCCATGTGTATCCATTTCTGATTGATAGATATGTATTCCAAGTGTACGTATCCATTGCCCTTCTATCTCGGTCCAACGCATGCGTAGCTTATTACACTAACAATGTCTTCACATCGTTTCACATCATACTTTCGTTGGCATAGTTTGATGATGGTGGTGAGGATCCGATGACGATGAAGATGATTGTTGTGTATGTCTACTCCACGTGTTGAGTCTCTTTTTGCAACGAAATAGTTTCTTGAATCCTTTCGAGAACTGGTCACTAAGACACCAGTAAATGATGGGGTTGACACAGCTATTGATGAAAGTTATCATTTGCATAAGGCTGAGTAATGCGAAAAAGTAATACGGTGGTGGTCCTAGAAAAGCAACAAAATAGGTGATTCATTCGCAACCTTGAAGATATATTTAGCAGGTTACAATAACATTTATGAGCAAGACTCAGACATTGAGGTAAATGACGGATCTGTTCACTTATGGTGTCCGGCACCATTTGTCAAGCGAACGGTTCCATCGCTCCTTACATTTGAGCTCCCATTTATAAATTAGGTCCATACGCATCCACATTCTTTGAAATGAAAGCAGCATTTCCACCATCTCCTCCTAAAAATCTCAGTGATAGTGCTGCAGTGGGATCCTTTCACGTCTCCATCGTACAGCCTTTTTTATTCTGTCCAACATCTAAACTCTAGGTCCTTTTTTCTTTCTATTCTACTTCCAACTCTTTTGTTTTACAATACCATTTTCTTTTTGAAAAAAATAAGAATTAATATCGTGGTACAACTAGAGAGGGTGGCAAAGAGTTTGTACATTTAAGGCCAAAATTAATATATGACGCAGAATTTTACAGAAAGGCGAGCGTGGCTCTTGAATTTATCAACCACCATCGTGAGGCGTAGAATATATGACCCGCGACTTTTTTCTTTAATTTCGTGGAGACCTCAAGATTTGCTAAAACCTTGCTCATAGGAGGAGAGATTTTAGATTTTCCTTTGGTGAACTTTCTTTCCAAACAGGATCAGGACCCCCTCGTTGCTACCCTCAAAAGATATTGTAGCTGCCGTCGTGAGTCATCGTCTGGTCAGTACAGCTTTTGCAAGGAAAATAAAATGATAGTATTAGGTACCTGATAATCCAAAGTCAAGCCACAAGAAGGTGGCATACGTGGGCAACATGCAAATGGCATAGCACAAAACAACAATAACCATCATCCTTAAGACGTTCTGTTTTCTTCTTTGGTTCTTGGGATCCTCTGTCACTCCACTTGAAGGTGAGCTCTCGTCACGATCTTCTTGCCACAGTTTTAATATCATTCTGGTATATGCTGGGGCAATGAATAAAAACGGGAGAAAATAGCAGAAGAGGAAGAGAAATAACGAGTATGCCTTTCTGAGATCTTCTGTAGGAAACACTTCCATGCATCCAAATGGTGGTGCTTGTTTGTAAGCTCCAACTTCAGGCAAAGCAACCAGGAACGAAGACATTGAAACGATTGCTATTATTAGCTTGGCTTGAAATTTTGATAGGGGTGGTGTAAAGGGGAGGCAGATTGCGCGGTAGCGTTCGATAGTGATGGCCACCAGGGAACCAGTGGATGCACTCAAATTCATAACCTGCAAAGCTGAAAAAAAAATTGCAGTTCGGTGAGAAAGGTTGCTGGAATAGTTGAGTTTGGGTGTAGACATCAGGCTTTGGATGGAATGTGTGGAGTCATTAAAACTAAATCTTGTTTTAGACAGTAACGGAAGTCCATTCTTCCAGACTTTCACTCCATGAATTGTCAATCAAGAAACGTCATTTCCTTTTTATTTTCGTAGATTTATCGAGAGAGTAATCTTCACGTTGTTCGCCAATATGCGAATTGTAATTATGCTTGGCTGGGCTTAAAGAGTAATTAGTCAAATAATATTCGTGATGAAGGGTTGAAAAAAGAAATAAGTCTTGTGGATTCTTCTTCAACGAAAAGCTAACTGTCATTTTTGTTCTGACCACACTAAATCTAATTAGGTATTAAAAAAATGTATAAAGGTGTTAACAGTTAGGTTCACGTGGAAAGCTTGATTTTTTCGCTTTTTTTAATCCCTCTTGACTATTTCAATACCGGATTGCCAGTGTTGTCGTCGACTCCATTTCCGACATAACGTTTCGGCGACTCATGTGGGGGTAACGAACCCACACCATGCTGGAAAAAGCAGAGTGAATTATGGAATTATTTCAGGAAGTCCACTTACTCGGCATTGTTTTACACCAGAAGAGTCCAAAAGGCCATGACTTAAGTTGATTGTAAATTAGCGTGAACGGAATGTTGAATAAGCACACCAGGATATCCCACACGGCTAAGTTCACTAAAAACAAATTCATAGCAGTCTGCATTCTTTGGTTCTTGTACACCACCGCACAAACCATCACGTTACCAATAGACCCTTCCAGAAAGAACAAACAAAAGAATGGAATAAAGTAATGCACCTTAGATTTAAATAGAAAGGGTGTAGCATTAAAGGATTAAAAAACGCTGCAGGTAATTTTATTGAAGTCTGGGTTCTGTTATCAAACGAAAAATATTTACAAAAAATTATTGGTCCTAAATATAAAGAGACGTCCATCAGTGATGAGTTAATGAACTAAAACTAATGTGCATTGCGCACATCGTGACTTTTATTTCAAATACATAGTTTCAACTTTCGGCTCCTGAAGTAACCGAAAGATGAAACTCTGCGATTGTTTTTAATGCATTTATACACATGCTGATATCAGGAAAAGCCGCCTTTTGGTAAAGGGGCATATGGCCTATGTTCAATATGTTTTAGTTCTTTTAACTCATCAGTGATGGAAGCCTTTTTTTTAGACCAATAATCGAGAGGTTTGATACATTTTTGTTAGGAAAATCAGGCAACTAGAGTATACATATCGCAAAAAAGTGCAGTCATTTTTTTTCTTGCCCAACCATAGTGCTTGTAAAGGATAGTCGTTAGTCGTAATAATCACCAGCGAAAGCCCATGTTGTTCTCAAACGTGTGAACAGCAGATGAGAACTGGAGTAAAGTAAAGTTTTAGGACTTGGAAAAGAAGGAAAAGTATTAATAGAATACAATGTTATTTAAAAAGAAGCAGACACAACGTGTTGAAGCGTAAACCAGCATTCCTGTAGCCTATATTGAAGCTGAGCAAAGTACAATTAAACAATGTTTAACGTTGGGTGTCGAATCATTTAGCTGTTTGATTAGCAGTTACAGGTTAGTAGTTTGGATAGCGCTTTAATAGTTTTCTGTCGTTGATCTATGTTGCACAGCGAGGAAACTGAACTTGAACGCCTCGTTTGTGTTTTTCACCGGAGAAATGAGAAATAAGTTCCAAACCCGGAACAAGCTGTCATTTTGATAGACTTTTCACTTTTGCAAACATTTATTAAAACCATCAAAATTGAAATAAATGGACTTGACTATTTACACACAAGGTGCTATACAAATGAACCTCCGGGAGTCTATGTATTCAAAAAAAATTTAATTTAAGACAACTGTCGTTCATTTCATTCTAATAAATAATTAGAAAGGAGCATTCCGAGATATCACGACGAGACCCTTTTTTAATCTCGTAACACTGATTCATGTATCTTTACATCTTTACGTCAATCGCAATTACTCAAAGGACCTTTATTAAAACCTAATTGCGTGCTTTTAACTAAACGCGAGGCTTGTGTTAGGAAAACATTCGAGCAAACAGTTCACTGGTCTTCACTTCCGCGTATTTTATGATATTTATCTGTTTCCTGGTGCCGACTAAAGTTTACTGCCAATGATGCTATAATTGGTTTATATCACAACATTTTTAAGGAGATAAATATTTGTTGTTTAAACAAATTGAATTAATTAACAGTCCACCCCATTTACCAACAGTCTGGCGACGTGTAGATTTTTGTTTTTCTTTTGTTCTTAATAACAAATCCGTGAAATCGACTTGGCAAAGTAGAGTTAAACGATGGCCGCAGACTGACTAATTCTTGACATTGCAGTCAGTCATTGTGAGGGTCGGGAGAGATAAATTAAACTCAGACGATTAAAGACATATCCTGAGAGTTAAAAATGTTCACGGCTTTGGTCATTAACCATGAACCATGGGTTAAGCTTTTTAAGACATTTCAACGCATAGTTAGTACTTAATTATCACTATGTAAAGAGTTGATCAGACATTCACGGAGCGAATGGAATGTGTTTTTCTTTCGTATTAACTCGTTTCAAAGGATTTGGGAGTAAATGCGCTAAGAAGTTCAAATAATTCATAAACAATTTCGATAAATTGTACGCAGAAAATGGGAAACAATAAGCAACCACTTATTTATCTGAGCGTGGGAAAGCACCAATTACGATAAGGTCTCGTTCACTATCCCTCAGTGTCGTGCTTACTGACTCTATTCTGTTCCTTTGTCACTTCGCTTTGTTTAAATTGACTACACGCTGAGCGGCTGTAATAACACTGAAATTTGTTCACGGTCAGGGGAGTTATAATAGGTATTAGCTAATTGACCGCCGGTGAAATTAAAAGGAGGCCAAAAAAACCTTCAGTTTATCAGTCACAAAATCACTGAAAGACGGCCAGTGCCAGCGCCCATGACCCGAGAAAATAATTTGAATATTCTTTCCCTGTTAATGCCAACTTCAGTTCATTCGATATATAATTTCTCTTTCCTCATTTTATGTGGAAATGTTTAAGGATAGTGAAGCAAGTATCCCTTGTTGAATTATGTTACGTATTAAAATGTACATTGTGCTTTAAGAAATCAAAGCTGAGTGAATCTGATGGTTAAAAAGCTTACAACAAATTCTTGCTTCATGGTTCACACGACAGCCAGAAAATCAAAATCGATCCGTCCACTGTTTGTGTAACATCTATCGAATGCGCCTTTGCAAATAGACTTTCCATACTGAATTTTTAGCTTAAAACGAAGAAACCGAGAAGTATGGATATGATTGCCCTTTGGAGAAAAAATTTGCATTTTATTTCAAAGTTTAGACAAATTTTCTCAGCTGCTAGATCAGAGCAATTAATTATTCTAAAACCTTTTTTCAGAAAAAAAAAGACTGCTTAAATTTTTTCATTTACAGCTAACAATCCCAAATGTGACCTTCTTGTTAAATTGATTATTGTATGCACAAATGAAGTTTAATTTTTGCAAGTTTTCTTACCTACGAAAACAATAATAGCTCCAATAATCCAGCGCATTGTGATGACCCACAACGGATCGTAAACCTCTTCTGGTGTGGCTGTCGTGGTCATGCTTGTTACATTACTAGTGCTCATTACTGCGGTAGTTGAGGTGGCGTCCATCTCAGTTTGGAGACGATGTGCTCTGTTGTCACAGAAACATATAAATGATTAATAAACTACCTATTACCTGACTGAAAGACGCATATTCAAATGGTTATTTAAGAGAAACGTGACGTATGGAAGGTTTGATTTGATCGAAAGACGTCATTCTTTTGAAACAGATGTATTTAATTTATTAGAATTACCCAAGTGCTGAGGGCTCAACGTAACGAAATGTCAGCTAATGGTACTTTGAAGAAGAAAGAAGTCACTTAATTTACGACCATCATCTGTGACTGATTAATTGACTAGAGCCATGCAATGAGACGCACAAAGACTATGTTCCGTCAAATGATTGACGAATGTTTACAGACGATCAGGTTGATCACGATCCCAAACACAGAATGAGTCAATGTCAGGTGATTGACGGTGACTTAAACAAACTTTTCCTTGGTCTGAAGACCATGCTTCAACAGTCAAATTAAAAATATACTGTATGGCTCGAAGCAAGCAGAAACTTCTCCAAATTCAACAAAAATGCCTCCTTCCGTACAACACTTACTTAGCTTTCGCCCTCCAATCCCAAACCGTGAGGTCGAAGTTCTTCGCTAGAGAATGTTCTTTCAATCCTGATTAGAAACTTCGCGCTTACCACTGAGTTGTTTTTGATTTTTAACGTGATGACGTCATAACAGGGGGTAAAGAAAACGCTCCATCATTTCCTTTGTTATGTCTTTTTTTCATGGCAAATACCAAACACAGTGGGAAAAGATAAAAAGCTGGATTCAAGGAGAGCGCGTGTGGTGCCCTCTGGAATGTCCGTTTCACGTTTCTTTTAGTGAATATCCCAATGGGTTAAAAACAATGAGTCGGTGCTCTTGACCGAAATTGTAACCCGTCTCTCAAGTGCTTTTATTCAACGCTTGTGTTGCTCTAACCTGTAATTTGCATTTGACTTTTTAACAAAGGTGCAATTACAATGGCGTTAATCTGTCCGCAATATTAAGCGCTTTTATGCACAAAGAAAGAGGTTTTGCTTAAACGTCACTGGTTGTGTTTCATGATAACAGAAATATTGTGACATACTGCAAAAGTGTGACAGGAAGGCACACTCGTTTTGACGAGAGACTCCATCACAGATCACTCGATATTGAACATGTTAAAGCAGACGCTTACTATTCATTGTTGCGGTTTAAAACTGATTTGATGATAAAACATTTTACTCGAGCTCTTTCCAGCGAAGTATCCAGTATAACGTACTTTGTTTTGAGCAAATGATCAAATCGTTGACTTTCTGACTTTCAAAGAGATTTTTCGGTGAGTCCCACCAACATGGAAATTTGTAATTACGCCACGAAGCACCTTTATTATCCAAATTTTCTTTTCTTGTATTCGTTTTAATCTATTTATAGCGTCCCCGGTTTGAGAGTGCTTTCAATTCGCTTTCATATCACCGTAGATTCATGAGTTTCTAGTACCACTTAACGCAAATAACAAACAACACTATATCGCTGGTCATACTGCCGACTAGAGGAACGAATTCTACAGTTTGTCACGAAAACAAAACGAAGTACCTCGCAATTTGAGCTTGAAAGAAAAAACAGAATGGCCTGATATGATCAAAGGAAGTACTTAAAAGAGAAACTGACGTGCTCAAACGACACTATTATAAGTCACTCTCACGTCACGTCACAGGTTTTCCTATTCATCTTTTCTAACAGGGATAGGGGGCATCACAAAAGCATGGTATGGGTACATATTTATTTTGATTCTTCGTCAAAACAAAGTCACAAAGACTCCCAAAGTCTCTTGAGTATCAGAGGTCAGTGTCTCTTTTGCTCATGATAAAGGAGAATCATATATTTCTTTCTTGAAACCACCTCTATGGTTCCGATTAACGCGAAGATTGATCGGCATTTTGCGACATACGTGTGACAAAACTGTCCGTATAAAAGCAGCGTTTTATACCGGGGAAGAAACCCTACGTTGTATCATTCCTTTCCTAATAAAGAAAACCAGGAAACGATGGTTGTCGTAATGTCGAATGGCAGTGCGTACAACTTGTGTTTCGTTTCAAACACGAGCTTATCTGACATTTTGTCATTTAATACATTCTGACAGACTGTTGGTAGCTGGCGAACAAAAATAGACAAGATTTTGAATTGTCTGCTCGAAGTAACCCTTAGACGGCCGCGCCTCTCAAGAACACTGTTGTACTACACGTTATTCTAAACCGAGACTAGTGGTGTTAACAGACCTTCCATGATCGATCTGTGACTGAACCAGAAAAAATTACAGAGTGATATCAAACGTCTTAAAAATAAAAAAAAAATAAAAAAAAAAAAAAAACCCACGCGACTCAGCGTTTTGAATAGATGAGTTTATATCTCCTGGAGCAGACAACGGAAAGAATGACTTAAGATATTGCGTGGCAAACTTGCTGTATTTTATTTCCTGAGCCGAGAATCAATTATCTCTCAAAAACCACCATTGAAATAAAGAAAAAACAGTTCTTCCCGTTATAGTTGTACTCGGCAAAACATTAGATAGTCAACATGCTTCATATAGAAACATGTAAGGTCAAGGAAAGCCATTTATGAATAACTCCCATGTCAATCGCGTGAATTTCAAAACAAAACAAAAGCGCTGAATGTATCAAGAGCCATAAATATTGAGGAAAACTATACGTATGTCTAATAAGGTGAATCAACAACATTGTCATTTTCTAGCAACGTTTTTATTGCAACTGAGCAGTGAGCATTGCAGAACTTACGATAAAACTTCCAAAAAACGAAAAAATGCTTGAAAAACGTCAGTGATCTTTTTTCGGCCTCAAGTATGATGCAGTTACCTTTATGTTTAGAAAATTATAGGTTAGGAGCTCATTTAAGACCAACTCAACTGGCACCAAATTTGTGCGTCTTAAAATAACGTTTCTTTTCATTGGACGAATTTTCTTTTGAGTTGAAACGCTAGTGAAAGAAATCACAACTTAATGAACTCAGAGCTACGGGATTACCGCTCCGGTGGGTGTTTGGGCGCCAGTGCTTTTAATCCGATTCTTGTAACAGGAAATGAGGGCCGAAGGAACCAAATTAAATTTTAACATTTCTCTCTAAAAGCATGTGACCACCACCTTGCAATCCATGTCCTTTGGATCATTTTAGCTTAATGGTGGCATGAACTCTGAAAACATTTTATGGCATGGCAGAGGTCGCGAATTGAGACATATTTTCGTGAATTACTTACACTGTAGATAAATTTCGGATAAATCTTTTCTATCTTCGTTATCTTACCACAGGCAGGGAGTTTGATTACTATCTGTTGGCGGACCATAAAGTTAAAGACGGAACAAGGACCACGCATCAGGATAAGAACATGCACATATGTCACATTGTCTTTATGGGTGCTAAGCCGTTATCGGTTGAAATATTTTTAAGCGCACGAGTGTCTACCTACATCCATGGCCAAGTGTATATTATAAATGCCTATAAACTTATAGGCCTTTTTAACAATTCAATTCTCAATTTAAGATTATATACATCATCTCATGATTTTCTTCGTATAAATCGCAGATCACACTCTTCTACTCCTGAATTAGCAATAGAGAAAAATGCCGTTTCAAAAACTGTCGCACCACTTACCACTTATCGAGGACACACACAAAAAATTTAAATATTTATGGCTAAGTACGAAAAGCTTTTCTGAAAACTTTCTTTTCAGTAACTCATGAAAGAGAGAAATCTTTGTCATCCGGTCTCAGAACCAGTGAGCGCTAGTAGAAGCGAACTTTGTAGCTTTTATCCTGTATAATCTCAAACACATGTTGGATATATGAGTTATATAATTCGCATGATACATCTGTGTTGGTTGGAACACGAACAATCGTTGTGAAGAAATTTGATCCAAAAAATAATTTCATGCTTTTAGAAAAATACGGATCTTGTTAATATAAACAGTTTACAACTTATTTTTATTAAAGGTTGCACCGGGTCAGATCAAATTAGCAGTAAGTGAACAGAAACACAGCGTGAATCAGCCAATGGCGAAGGCTTTAAAGGGAATTTCTATTGACTTACGAACCCTCCTACTAAAACGACTGTCTGCCGGAACAGTTCTCTAGTACACAACGTCTGTCTGTTCAAATTATGATTGCAAGAATTGGCTCCAAAAGCCAGAATAATGATGTAATCAACTTGCGTTGGAAAACAATGGCCAAAAAACGTATTGTACTGTAGAAAGTATGTGGACTAAAATGCATGTTGATCTTGGGAACTTTTAACTTTGATTAAAATTTACCATGAATAGTACCATAAATGAGCGATGAATATTTTAACTAACAGCACTTTTATGACTGCTTGCTGTCAGGAAAGTAACCAGGTTAGTTTGAATTAGGACTGTTGGAACTCATCTGTCAGGTGGGAACCAGTATAACTTATTTACCTTCGTGATCCAGGCTGTACTTCTGTTTGGTGCTAGCGTGAGCCACAGCAAATTATCTAAGCAGTCTGTTCACCGAATTACCAAGTTAATTAGGATTTCTCGTTACTTACTCTGTTTTTATGCATACTAGACTTGGTCACGAAGCGACTCCTGTTGTATACAAGCCGCATAGATAGCTTTCTTAATTAAGGAAGACATCATCACAAAGCAGATAGTCACTCCGCACTTTGCCCGTCAGTCGTTCCGCCAGTGACTGACAAGTAGTTCTCTACAGCTGCTAGACAAAGTCGCTAAACTAAGATTTTGAAAAGTAAACTAATGCGTGAATAGCCTCGCCCTTACTGAAAAGTTTCTGTTTTGAGAGCATAACCACCGGGTCTTCTTGAAAATGTCCAAAGACGAATACAGCGCATCATAATAGAGTGCAAACGTGATTGACCTCATTTCAGTAATGCCCGTTTTTTCACGTTGGCATGTAAAGACAAGGACGTTTTGTTTCAATGTTTGCTTAAGTATCAGTCTACATTGCTTGCATTTTGGTACTCCAGATACAAACATTTTGTTTTTAAAAAAGAGAGAAAATGTCGATGCCTAGATGAAAAGAGTAAGATAATCTTAAATATGTCTTTCGCCCCAGTGCGATGTAAAAGAGCCTCTCTCCAACCCTTAATTTTCAAAAACGTCATTCCTATAGTATGAGAATGATTCATTGTGATTTCAACTGAAGCATTGACAGAAACACACTCCAGATGTTCACTCAGCTTGGGCTGTTGACCCTAATTTTTGTTAAACTTGATCGTAAACTACTGCTTGTGAAAAAGCGATAAGCAAAGTTATTATTAAAGAGCAAGTGGGATCATTAAATGTTTACTAATGGGAAGTCAATATTGTCCGAGAATACCAATCAGAATGCAGACCTTCTATTAATCGAGATACAGTCAACGGATGTAAATATTCATTTAGTGTCTCAGTCCTGGCAGAGTTTTCCTACTTAAATTCTATCAATCACGACTTTCACTCTGCTACAGATTTATGATGTAACCGAGGAAAAATTTCAAACACGTGGAAGTCGGTTCCTTACTTCATAGCACCTGCCCGAAAGCGAATTTTTGAGGTTATGCTGGATGAACATTGCAGCGATTTAATGATGCTCACGTCTAAAACTAATGCATATATACGATAAATGATCGCTTTTTGGCGGAGGAGATAGAGGAGTTTACACAAGTTCATGTAACGTTAAGGCTCAAAATCCATATGCTATCAAGTGACAACAGACATTTTGCAATAATTTCAACATTTTAAAAAAATATATGATTGGCCAAAGAGAATGAGTTTGATTTAAACCTGAGCGCTCTTCAAACACCTCGAGTGTATGGCGAGTGATTCTTTTAACATGAAGACAGAATTTAGGATACGTGTTTACAAACAGCGACCCCTTTTCTCTTTGGAACGTTGTCATCATGACCTTGTATACTCAGTCAGACAAATTGTCGAAGTCACTAACGCAACTATCATCACTGTTGCTGCGAGGTGTTTACAAAGAGTGGGATGTTATTATGGTGGTGAATGCGTTTTAAGGTGAATTAGGCGCTTACACCTTAGTCTAAACGACTAATCTCTGAACTAGATGGCTTGGAGAGCGCTTGTCTCAGAGTTCATTGAGATTAAAGATGACTGATTTCATCATGTAATAATAAAATTAACGTACCGTCGACAAAGTTCCTTGAGTTGGACAATGTTCAGCTCAATTGATCATAGTAGTTGAAAACACATCCGTGTATCCTTGAGATAGGTGAAAAATGTTCATAGTTCACTGTCCCTCAATGTTATATCATGTCATATCATCTTGTCCAAAGCGAAAAAAAAAGGAAAATGGCAAAGAGTGTGCAATGATTCCTGAATTGATAACTCTGGCTCAAATGAAACAAATAATGGATGAAATTGTGTCACTGTCGTATGAAACCACGTCTAGATTATTGTCAACGGAGGATCAGATCGTATCGTTAATTAAACAACCAGAAGAGAGGTCGTGATATTTAGAGCGTATCTCATGACGTTATTCTTAAACTCACGATATAAAGCCAGTGTCATATGCGCCTACCCCTTCACACAAAAGTGCAGAGTTATCCAAAAAGAAAAGAAATCAATAAGTGTTCCGTAAGGAAGGATTTATACTGAATTGTAGCATAAATGACGTGACCATTGTTATCAGAATTTGATCCATGATCAACAAAAATATTTTAGTTTGTCATCTTATTGATTTTATCACTAAGAAAATATTAGTGGGACGGCGGAGAGATTATTAAAAGGAAGTCGAGTAAAAAACTAACTTTAAAAGTTGAAAGTTACTTAATTTGTCCTTAAGCTCAGAAGATCACCACAATCGCGGCTAAGGATTCGATGCAATTAATATTAATTGCTGTCCTGCATGGAAATTGAAATGTGAATGGAATCGTAATTCACGTGCATATATCTGAAGAATGGATACAATGCATCCCTTATATCTGAAATTGGTTTCATTGTAGCTTTCCAATCGCCAAGCATACAAAGCTGTTGCTCATAGCTAGTAATGGTTTCAACCCAGTAACTGGCTGATGAAATTAGTTATACAGAGGAACTGGAATGAGTGCTCATGTAAAAATGATTCCTATCACTTCACCACCGAATATCAATCAACAGCTGAACAGTTAAGGGATTCAGCTGGCATAACTTGGACAAAATTGCGATTCGTCAAACGATTGTTATTCAATCCCCGCATCAGTGAAATGAGTTATCACGTTATTTGATTAAGAGAATTTGTTAATTTACTTACAAGAGGAGAATGGCCTCAAATTTATCTTCAACTTCACTTTTTGAGTCCTTCAGCGCTCTGTGTTTGTGCCACCTTTTTGTTGATATCACTCTCAAGTTTTGACCAACTCGCTATCAATGTGTCAAAAACAACAAACAGGTCTTGAAAGAACGATAAACATTTGCAACTGACTAATTTTGCTATTTTTATAGCATTTTTTTTGCATTCATGCAGACTGCATTAGTATTAATTACAAAAAAAATTGATGATAAAACAACTACTTATGACTAAAATAGACAGCCTGAAAAACCCTATATATCCAATAAAAATAAATTATCCCCTAAAACGTATTTAAATTTCTTTAATACTATCATATGATTACAAGACAACTGTCGCCTTAAATATACCGTAATGTTATGTATTAAGGCCTGATTTTCTCACTGCTCCCGATACAAAATTTTGCAATACTTGCGAATGGGTTTTACTGCGACTCACTTCAAGGACGCAAATGATGATAAGTATTTTGAAATAAAAATAAATAAAGTTACCATAATCTTTGGCCTTGCATAACTTGTGTGATCCAGTGCTCGCCTTTCCCGAAAGAGTACGTACAGGTTAGAACATCACCAATCAAGACATGCGCACTAGCTACTCTTGCAAGGCAGACCGGATTCAAGGGTCTCAAAACAAATTTTGTGTCGAATTGCATGAGAACGGCGCGTCAGAAGTGTCTCAATATATTTTTGATCTATCTAGGCAACGTGGAAACTCAGATTTTTTTCTTAACGTTTTTATTGAAGCATGAGAGGTGATTTTTTAGCAGCGTGTTAGTCTAAAAAACTATTCAGAAAGCTTAGGATCACGGTAAATAGCACAGTCAAAAGAGACTAGGTAAAGAAGGGTTTGAAATTACAACTGCATGGTGTCTCTTAAAAATTGTAAGCTTGAAGGTTTCGCGTTTATTCGATGAGATAAAGCGGAAGAGTAAATTTGAAACTTATTTTTTATAGAATAAGTATTAGTTTCACTTTGGGTCCTCCTTTTCGTGTCAAACCAGCTGCTGTCTTCTGACGGAGTGGAAGCTAATTAATCATGAGCTTCCCACTATTCAGAAAGCTTAGGATCACGGTAAATAGCACAATCAAAAGAGACTAGGTAAAGAAAGGTTTGAAATTACAACTGCATGGTGTCTCTTAAAAATTGTAAGCTTGAAGGTTTCGCGTTTATTCGATGAGATAAAGCGGAAGAGTAAATTTTTTATAGAATAAGTATTAGTTTCACTTTGGGTCCTCCTTTTCGTGTCAAGCCAGCTGCTGTCTTCTTACGGAGTGGAAGCTAATTAATTATGTGCTTCCCACTGTTGCAACGCGATTGTGACTTTTCAAAATGAAGGGCGTCGCGAATAGCATAAATTTCAACTTTAGGATTAGAGTTTTTGAGGGAGATGGGCCGGAGGAAAGGCCTGAATTGCTCAGAGAATGCTCGGAAGAAAAGCAAGGGCATATCAATTAATAAAGAGTTCAATAATGCTACGTGTTGCTCCAAATCTACATCAGCATACATAAATCGCGTAAAAAAAGAGAACGGCTCTAAATTATGAACTATTGCCAAAGGCACTTTTGCCAACCTAAATATCGCTTGCTTGAGGGAATTTAATTATTGCTGACCTCAATTTTAAATGGTGAATTACTTCTCACACAGACGTTCCTTACATTTATGAAAATCGGATATAATAAGTTACTACAAACCCTAACACATGGAACAACAATAATGTCGAAGAATTTTTAGTCTTGCACGGAAGATGAACTAGCAGTGTGCCCAAAAGCGTCGAGGCAGCTTCACCTTTGTGTTGATTTGTGGGTGTCAACAAGGAATTTTCTTTTGACCTCAAATGTCTATAATTTTTTCAGCTGTCGCAGGAAAATTTCTTCCACTTTTAATGTATCAGGGACTAACGATACCACTGCTGATTGTGCATGAAGATTTTTTAAAAGTCGAAGGGAAAAAATTGGATATTCTTGCAGTTTGCGCCTTTCGGTCGGAATCTATTTTTGTGTTTTTCCTTTAATTATGAATTCGAGGTAAGCATCCGTTCCTGTTATAAGTCAAATATAAGAGAACCACTTTCTAAGGATAAATACTCACCTTACGAAGCGACTCTCGATTCCTTGTTCACCTTCTTGTGTCTACGTGTGTTTGTGTGATATTTTCCAAAGATCCTGTCCTTGACTCTTCCGAATTTGTTATCAGGTCAAGTCTATGGGAAAAACAATAGCCATCAATCGATTTTACAGCAAAAATGACAAGTAGGAGTGGTTATTGTAAAAGGTAATGAGGGAACCAAACCCGTCGGAAGAATTAAAGAAGCTCCGTTCAAAATTTCTATGTAAGCAGGTGATCCATTCTCAGTGAGTTGATATTCTTATCTCGAAGTAGGAAACTAAAGGAATGAAATATTAATTTTAATGTCCTAGCCTATCTATAATGTAATACATTTAAAGTGCTTTTATCGCATTTATTGAAAAAGACGCTGAAAGTAATGCTTGTTTGTGACGAAAACACATCAGTACAGGAAATTATTCTCATCTTGCGAAAACTGTCGACGTCTCAGCACTGATAAGGCTTTAATATATGAAAAATGTTCTTGACATGGATAGCATGTAATTATCGGCTTCGTCTTTGATTTTTTCAAAGCTGTCAAGATTTGGAATTTTATTTGCCTGCCGTAATATACAAAATCACGCTAAGTTGTCGCTTTAGATGTAGACAGCTCAATTATAACACCAGTTGGTCTCATTAATAACATTTTCAATTCAATAACCTACGGGAGAATTTTCAATTTGGTGAACAAGGGAATTCATGAGGCAGAAAAATAAATCCTTTTATTATTTTACCCCCCTTGATTTGCACAAGGAAATAAGTTGAAGGAATAGATTATATTATTGCGATAGCCATGATCTCAGCCGCACGTTCGTGCAAAATTACTTTTTAAAGAGTGTTTGGATCATGTACTGCCTAATAAGCACCTAACACTTCCGCTTTTCTCAATTGAGCACTTATTATTGTTATCATAACAAAAGCTAAACTTTGTGAGGCAGCCTTCCTAAAAGAACGTATTACAAAGAGCATCTTCGCGTTTTATTTTAAGCTTCAAAGAGTAAAAAAAATATCGGTCTTACCATTTGTTTGTGTACAGCACCTTATCTTAGTATCCTGAGATCACTTTTTTGCATCTATTTTACAAACGGAAATTGTTAGAAACTATTCTTGTGCCCACTGAGGAAGTGAGGCACAAATGAAGATCGGAGGACGCCTTGTTTCGTGCTCTTTGCATTAACGTTTCTGAACAACAAGGAAAGCAAGATCGCAATCTTCAAATATTGAAAATTCGAAATGTTTAGAAGGAAGAGAATGAAATTTGTTTCTGTAAGCAACAGTCATACTTTGATATCAGTCCACATGAATATTTGGAGTAACATCGGAGAATTAACTCTTCGCTTTAAAACAATGCTTTTCCTTATTTTATCATCTAGGGTTGTGTGAAGATAACCTCGTAATACTTGGGTCAACATGTTTGGCTTTTTGTCGTTTATTTATCAATTTGTGTACGTGCCCTTTCCGAAAATGCAGAATTAAGTCATGACTATTCGTCGCACTGTCACCGCGCGGCGCCCAAACTTTGGGTAATCAATCAATGCGTTCTACTCACCAACCGAACCGAAGATAAACCTGTCTGTATACATGTTTTCCATTGACTGCGTTTATATGAGTCCACTTTTTAGTCAAATGAGAATTGTAAGTTGAATTTCATTTTATTCTACTATTTCTTACTCAATGCTCTTTTGATTTTAAGAAAAATGTTTGGTTTAATGACTACGCTGCATACCTTGTCGTTTTAACGTGATTAATGATATTTGCAAATCTCGTGCTAGTTATCTTCGATGTGTCTTCTTATGTTTACCTATATCTCTACTTGGAAACATTCCGAGTGGTTTAGTGATCAAATCTTTCCCTGTTATCATTCTTAAGCATTCCAATTTTAACCTCTCTCTTGCGTCCATCGGCTAGTTAAGTTATGGGAATTGACAAACAAAATTGACGGAACGTGACGCTGTTTTGATCTTCCTCTTCACGAGGAATGAAAAAGTTGAAATCATAACATGCATATATACTCCGGGCTGTGCATCAAAAAATTTAAAGCCCTCCTAGTGATCCTTTTTAAGTGAAAGAGATTTACATCGTGACTTCAATAATTTGTGCGCGCCACATCTTTGTACGGTCGGTTCAAAGTAAATCAAATGCAATAAATTACTTTGAAGCTTTGAGGAGTATATCCAAAAACAGTCATTGGTTCGCTAACTTTTATTGATTTACGTAACGGAAGTTGTCGAGGAAAAAAAGAACAAGGAATATCTAATAAAATTTTGCAAAGTGAAAAAGTCACCGGTCAAGTGAACGGCGAAATCAGATGAATCCAGAAAATACGATCCCATTTAAAGAATTAGGATCAATTTTACAATCAAGAAGTTATCTAACTAATCAGTTTTAGCTCCGAATTTTCTGTAACATGCTGTTTATTGCCATGTATTCTTGAATAAACTCACGTAATATATTATTCAATGTTTCACTTAAAAAAAAAAATTCAGAAAGAAATATATCTTCAGGCCTGAAAGGAATAAACATATCGTAAAAAGGTTTCCACTACAATATTTGAAGAGTTTTCAATCTTTGATGGGTATTTGTTTAAAAATACTTCGCCGCGTGTTGAATGTTCTGTGTCGTTGGTAATCACTCAAGAGCCAAACGAGGCAAGAAAACTAAAATACATCATAAAAGATTGAAACGATCAGAGGAAAGAGCCTAACCTTGGACTGTCTTTGTTCAAATATTTGGAAGACCGATAATAGCAGCTTCTTTCTTCTGAGTGTAGGTTTAGTTTTAAAGTTCATTGGCTGTACGTCACGTTTTATAGCGCTTGTCATAAGTAAATATAGCAGCCTTCAATGGATACGCGTGAGAAAGCTTTGAATCATCGTCTGTTGTACCTTAATGACTCCACGATCTTTCCTACAAGTCATTAACTCAAGTGCGCGGACTTATG